CACTAACACTCACTAGCAGACACACACTAACACTCACTAGCAGACACACACACTAACACTCACACACACTAACACTCACACACACTCACACACACTCACTCTAACACTCACACTACCACTCACACACACTAGTTTTTTGTTTAAAATGTAATCCCCCCAGCCTCCTTACCTTTTGGAGTGCTGGGGGGGATTCCCTGGGGTCCAGTGGGGCTCCTGGGCGGGTGGCCGGTCGGGCAGGCAGGCGGGCACGCGAGGGAGCACTCAGTGCTTCCTCTTCAGCTCCCTCGCGCGCCGCGTAGGGATGCAGGAGCCGGAAGATGACGTCATCTTCCGGCTCCGGTATCAGTGCGGTGCGCGAGGAGCTGAAGAGGAAGCACTGAGTGCTCCCTCGCGCGCCCGCCTGCCCGACTGGCCACCCGCCTGCCCGGTGACAGCAGGGCCAGCCTCTGGGGGCCCTGGGGTGGTCGGCTCCTGGGCCCCCCAGGGGAAGAGGCTGGCCCTGTGGCTACATACCGGGTCGCAGGGGCGGCCGGGTCCCCTGGTGGGCCGGGCCCGGTCGCAGCCGCGACCCCTGCGACCCTGGTATGTACGCCAGTGTCCTTGGCAATGGTATATGATCAAGCGCCACAAATTTTAATGTGGCTAAAGTATGTCCCATTTCCAGGAAATGTTTTGCCACTGGTTTGTCCGTTTGGCCATCCCTGTATGCTAGCCGAATGCTGGACCTGTGTCCCCTAATGCGTTCACAGATAGCCGTTTCCGTCTTCCCCACATAGCAAAGACCACACGGGCAACTTAATTTATAGATTACATGTGTGGTTTTACCCCTCCTCGGTCTCTCATCAGCTCTTGCTGTGTTTTAACCCCATGGCGATTTGACTGTGGTTGTGGTATCTGAGCGCGGGTCGGATATAGTGAGTGCTCAGATACAAGCTATCTGGGGATAGGTTGTGTGTGGGAGTTCTGTTAAGTATAATAGGAATTATGTATTTTTATGTGTTTTTACTGTTGTTGTGAATAGAGCTATTTTCTGTATGCTGGAGGTAATTGGCTTACCACACCCAAGCCATGCTTGCAGATGGTCACAAAGGCACTTTCAACTAACTTTTGACCCACTGGACCAATTTGTATGATTTTGATGTATGTTTGTATTTGGAGTATGCTGATTCTGAAAATGTAAGTTAAAAATGTGAACTTAATAGGATAGATTTTGTTTTTGTGTGGGTGATTGAACGTCTTCGCCGGCGTCATATGGCTACATGTGACGCATCCTAGGCATCTAACTGATCCTCTTTTTTGTTCTTTTGATATCTTAGCTAGATAGCTAGCTACTGGATCTGTATGGACCAAAAGGTCCTTTAGATTTTTATTTATTTTATAACAAACCAATGGTGCTTCCTTAAACTCTCTTGGAAGTGTCTCATCACTTGATAGTATCTTCCAATTTCTCTTAAGCAAGGCTGCTACTCGAGGAGATGTTTGATGATATAACATTGGAAACACCAGTTCTGAGGGCTTATTTCTATTTTGAACTGCGCGCGCACTCTGTGTTTCTTGAAGTGCTTTCTCAAGGATTTGACAATTATAACCTCTTTGTAGGAACTTAGTCTTCATCTCTGATATCTGGGTTTCCATAGATTGAACATCAGAATTATTCCTAATAACTCTCAGGAACTGTGCGTTGGGTAATGAATTTTTAAGCGCCTTTGGATGTGCACTTTGATAGTGAAGTATTGTATTCCTATCTGTAGGCTTAGTATAAAATGTATATTGTAATTCTGAAGGTCCCACCATTATCTGAAGATCCAAATAATGTACTCTTTCTGCACTTATTTCCGCTGTAAATCTAACTGGTGTTTGTAATTGGTTAAGTTCTTGAACCATCTTCTGTGCTTCCTCAATTCATTCCATACAATAAGCAGGTCATCGATAAATCTGTAATATGACAATATACTACTACTATCTTTGCAACACCTGTTTCTCTTCATAAATAAACATATACGCATTGGCGTACATAGGCGCCATGGCTGCCCCCATGGATGTACCAGCTACCTGGAGGTACCACGTATCCTCAAACCTAAAATAGCATGAACTCAATAGGAGGGCCTTGATACACTGTAGATCTTGTCAAAACTTGACGCATAGCTTCAACGCCTTCTTCATGCGGGATAATAGTGTATTGATAAAGCCTTATATTGGTGAAACGCGTTTGGATATTATACTGTTTTTATATACTGTTAATAAATAGATTTTGGTCACTTTTTACGTTTATACCATTATCTTTTGACTATTACCTGGTCTTTTATATATATTTCATACTATCTACATTTTTATATACTTTTTCCTTTTATTTATTTTACTTCCTGGTATTATACTCCAAAGAATCCCAGGTGGGGATTATACCACCTACGCTTTTATCACAGAGCAGTTAGCCTGCCCTATACACTGAGTATATTTTATTATTTTATACACCAACAATATTTTATTGAGAGCACTATCGCTGTTTTATCTTCTCTCTGAGCTCCTGATACTACCATCTAGAACACTCATTTTATATCCTAAAAGCGGGGATTATACCGCTGTACGCCTACAAAACTCGAGCTAGCAGAAGCTCTACCGAATGTGAGTGTATCTATTATATTTTACATCTTTTATTTCATGTGTGGAACATACTGCACCATTTTTATCTCCCACTTGGCCGTCTGTCACCACATAGAAGAGGATACTCGCCGTATATCCTGTAAGCGGGGATAATACCGCTGCAAGCCATTCACACCAGAGCTGGATTAAGCTCTGTCAACTGTAAGTAAGACCTCTCCTATTTTTACTATATTGGATCATCTTTCTCATCACTCACCACCTTCCTCCACATCCTTTGGATATCATAACAAGTAGAACCCTACAACTTCGGAGACCACATAATAGATTCAATTGGACTTGTTATTGTTATTTATTTTGTTCATTGGCGCAGACCCATCCCCTATTTATTTGTTTTTGTTTATCTATTCCTAAGGACATTTGAGGGAGTTCTTGCTTGGGTCTGCTGCCTCTCCGATTAGCGCTGACTCAACTCTCTGTTTTGTTATACTTGACTTCCCTCTTGAGTTAGCAGCTTTTCTTTTCATTATGTCTATATTTGAATTCAGAAATAACTACACAATTGATATCAATAGTGTATTCAATACAGAAACTAATAGTCCTGTCTTTCTAAGACAGAATAGTTTTAGTCAACAAGAATTATTCACAAAACTTGAAAGAATTTTAAGTACAGAAATTAAATTAAAATGGGAAATTGCCACTTTTAAAAAATATATCGATGAACGTATCACACCTAGAGGTTTGAGATTATTTAAATCCCCAACCTCAGATCAGGATGACATCGAGTTCATGGAGGAATGGAACAATAAGCTTGAAATGTGCACTTTTGGTCTAATGGAAACACTTATAGTGAAAATAAGTAAAAAATTATCACTGTTAGACTCACAAATCAATGACCTTAAAGAGCAATTGTTACCATTCCTTGAAACAAAAGTATACAAACAAAATTCTATTCTCATTCAAAGCAAAATTGAAAAAATTGAAACTGACACTAAACACATTAAAGTTAATTAAATTATCCGAGACAAGTCAGACTATGCTAACAACCAAGTTAGAACATACCATCTAAACAAAAGATACACCTCTGAAGCACCATCACCAAATAAACAATATACATCTAAAGAATACTCTAACCATCACAGACAACTACCCAAACAAGGAACCCAATTTTCTCGCAACCACTTTACCACTAAAACAAGGAAACCCTCACACCACTCACCACAAAGAATACATCAAAGCAGACCTTATACATACCAACACCACACTCCCTCACTTAGACAATACAGACCTGTCAATCACTCTCACTATCAATATCAACCCCAACCAAAATATCAAACCACCTCACGTAGAATACCCTCTACATACACACAACCGTCTAACTACTACAATGTACCCAGTCCCACCACCAAACCAGCATCACCTAAGCCCCAAAGAACTAAATTCACTAACCAAAGGAGAAATGAATATTTAAATCCTTACCTGTCAGTCTCTTCATTTACCTGTCAGAACACTCTGATTGGATGACTTAAACCCACCAATCAGAGTTCTCTGAGCCTAATTGCAGGGCTCAGTCTGTGTGGAGCCCTCTATGGGTGAAAATGGATTTATTTTGTTTGGCGCCCGTTTTTTTTTTGCCGGTTATTATGGATTTTTATTTGGCCTTTTTTGGGGCTGAAAAAAGAAGAGTTTAGAAGAAAGAAGACATCAAATGGTAAGTCTATTTTTTTTTTACAGGTATTTAGATAAGGGTCCCCCCTCATTATTTTTAGGATGAGGGGGTAGGTAGGGGTTATTTTTTGGGGGGACGGGGGTGACTAGGGGTTTGGGGACCCCTAGTCACCTGGGGGGTTTAAATTTTTATTTAGGGCCCCTACCCGCCGCTCAGGGGGGAGGACAGTGGATCCCCCTTTTTGTTATTTAGGGCCCCCACCGGCCACGCAGAGATGGGGGCCGAGGGGGACATTATGTCCCCCCCCAATTTTTATTTATTGCCCCAACCCACCGCTTATTTTTCCCTAATTAACCTCTCTCTCAACTAACTTTTAAAAAAGTCTAACGCGGTCACACACATTACCACAAGGTAATGTGTGTGACCACACACATACACTGATCACTTAAAGGGTTAAACTTTTACACTTCAAAATGAAGATTAATATCTCGCTCCAATTATAAATACTTTAACTTTAAATCATCTGGAGGAGACAAAATCCCTTTTGAATTGTAGTTTTCATATAGGATGTATATATTTAATGTTTTTACAATTGAACATCAATAAGACACTAACTGCACTTTTTTATGGTTTATCTTTATTTTTAAAACGTCACTCTATATGAGAGACGTTTTGTATATATATGGCATGCTATTTTGTACAGATTAGACTTTATACTGTTTAAAATTAACATGCTATACACCAGACAGAAAGTTGAGTGAAAAGGCTGTAAGATGAAAGTGATCTGTTCGTTCGTATGAACGAACGGTATAATAACTTAACATAGTGCCAGATAAGGGAATTTAAAGGACCACTATAGTGCCAGGCTGGATGGCGAGGAAAGGGGTTAAACGTACCTTTATTCCAGCACCGGGCGGGGAGCTCTCCTCCTCCTCTCCGCCTCCGATCCTCCTCTTCAGCTGAATGCGCATGCACGGCAGGGGCTGCGCGAGCATTCAGCCGGTCTCATAGGAAAGCATTTACAATGCTTTCCTATGGATGCTGGCGTCTTCTCACTGTGATTTTCACAGTGAGAAGCACGCAAACGCCTCTGGCGGCTGTCAATGAGACAGCCACTAGAGGCTTTAGAGGCTGGATTAACCCATTTATAAACATAGCAGTTTCTCTGAAACTGCTATGTTTATAAAAAAAAGGGTTAATCCAAGAGGGACCTGGCACCCAGACCACTTCATTAAGCTGAAGTGGTCTGGGTGCCTAGAGTGGTCCTTTAAGCAGTAAAACAGACTGTGTTCGGCTAAAAACGAACAAACGGCAAACGTGATGCAAACGTGATGCCTGCGGTCGGCTGTTAGACCGCACGAAAGAACAAACGAAAATGAATGTACCCTGTGGTTGACTGTTTAGACTGCACGAAAGAATAAACGAAAGTGAGTGTACCCTGCGGTCGGCTGTTTAGCCGCATGAACCGCAGAAGTACATGAACGGGTAATTATGCACGAACAGGTAAGTATTAGTGAGGGAGCCTATCCCCGCGTTTTTAAGCCCGAACGTTAGAAATAGCCAAACGCTAATTCCCACATTATGCTTACGTGGACGTGCCGGTCTCTATTGACCTGGAAGCCGGAAGGCAGGTACCGAGGCCGGTGCGAAGCCGGGTAGAAGGCACGGAGGTCGGAGGCATAGGAAATTTTTTTGGCTGGAACTTCGGACCGGAAGTGCTGGCTGCTAAGGAGAAATCAAACAGCTTGAACGGCAGAGGTGAGTAGGGGCTAGGAGTTTAAATAGGGGCCATAACTCCTCCCACAAATTCAGGCCTAATGGCCTTTTAACACACACACACACACATATATATATATATATATATGTACACACTACTGAGAACTGAGTGTATATTTAACAGTGTATAGGTGAGAGGATTAAGCCTATGTAAGAGAAAAAGACAATGTTACAAATGAAGACATGTTATTTATTTACAACTATGTTGTTATATTCCTGTCTATAAACCTCATTAGTTGGTAAAAAAAAAAAATAAATAAAAATTATGTTTTCTGACCAGAAAAAAATGTTTTGTTTTTGTTTCCATTAAATAAAGCACTATCTAGGCATTTAAAAAGAAAAATACACTTAAACATTACTTTCCAGGACACCGAAAATATTCTGGAGGTATTTTTTCTGCAAACCGCTTGTTCATTGGTTCAAGGGGTTACACTAACATAAAATAGCATAAAGGGAGAAAAAAAGCATTTTAAAAGTATTTTTTCTTATATGACCATTACATTTGTGTGGAAAAGCTATATTTATATTCTTTGAAAACCACAGAACATTGTTCTAGACTTGTTACATGTGAGTGGTTCTAATATACCAGCAATAGGATTGTAATATAGTAACAATATTACACTAATTCATATTAATTACTATTTATTTAATTATATATTTGTTTTAATCATTACTGGTTATTTATTTTTTAATTATTTTGAATATCTAAATCCTGTGTAGGCAAACACATCTCACTGTAACTATAAACAGTAACTATTTAATAAAAAAAATACTTATGCATATGTATCTGACTTGTAAGCAGGGCCTGATTTACATGTCAGACGCGTGTAGGCATAACATTTTAAGGCGCCCCATGCTGCCCAACCAAAAAAAGGCATGTAAATAAGTAAAATGAATTTATGAACTTGACATTGCAGGCCTAGAAACATCTAAAAAAATGAATATTTGACAACTGCATATATGCACAGATGTATATGTATATACCTACTTGTAATGTTTGAATCTGCATGCTCTCTGCTTTTACAAATAACTATTTTGTTTCCCACAAGGATTGCAATAAATCCATTTGTTTTTATTTTGTTCCATTTTGTTATTAGATATATTTTATTTGATTCTGGTGCTGCTGACATCCACTTCATTGCAGATCCCTCATTCTAAGCTGTCCACAGGCGGTTTCCATCTGCCCAATAGGGCACCATTAGGCGTTTTATACAGAGTCTGGCGCGGCTCTGTAATATGTGAGTGTAATAATTTACCATTACCATACTCTGTTTGCCATACAATACACACTGTGTGTAGCATATTTTTGTTTCTATAGGCTCTACATCTAAATTATACCAGAATTTGCAATACATTTGTTTATAAGTATATTTATATTTAAAAAACTATTTAGGGTGTACCTAACACTGTGATTTATTACTTTGTGTTTGTTTAAAGTAGAGAATTTGGTTAATAAACATATTACTAAAGCAATAGATAATGCTATCTTACATTTCAATATTAACCCCTTACGGACCAAACTTCTGGAATAAAAGAGAATCATGACATGTCACACATGTCATGTGTCCTTAAGGGGTTGTTAATTTCATGGTTGCCCCTATTTAACACCAGACACAGCTAAGGTGCTGGTCAATGCTGTTGTTCTTTCTCGTCTTGACTACTGCAATCCCCTTCTCATTGATCTAACGGGTTCCCAGATTGCACCACTGCAATCTATTATGAACGCAGCAGGTGCAATCTGGGAACCCCCGCTCGCACCTCATGCCCCACACCCTCTGTCAATCCCTACATTGGCTTCTAGTTAAATAAAGGGCTTAAGTTAAGATTCTGGTGCTTGCTTTGTCAGAATATTTATATCAAAAGTCATTTTGTGCTAAAAATAAATTAAAAGTGTATATTGCCACAGCCACTCAGAACAAAGCGGACTCCATTTTGCTATCTTCAGGATAACAAAAACACATAATTTCCTTGGTTTCTTCTTACTTTCAGTAACTAGCCACTTGCTTGAGCTGAGGAATGTATTACATAAACAAACCAAGATAAGCAATGAAGCAGGGGGATGGAACACTCTGTCTAAAATGTTAATGGAATAGATGCATATCTAAACACAGACACTAGTGACAGAGAAGACTAAGTAATTGATTTTACTTTCTAAATTTTATAAGGTACCATTGTAGTAAAGGGTGAAATTGAGTTTAGAACTGTCAATTTTACAAGTTATGACCAAGGTAGTTGCCACAAAGACTGACATAAACGCTTTGAACTGACAGCAAATCTAAGTTATGATAGTCATTTTAGATAAGCCAAATGACGTCAAAATCGTCATCAGGAAAAGTTAACTCTTTCCTGGATAGGAAGGTTTCGTTAGACAAGACTGCCATCTATGGATCAAATACCTTAATTGTGATCCCTAGATTGGACACACCTACGGCTGCCTATTGGTTTACCAACTAATGACGTACAGAGAGTCTGGCCCTTTAAAAGTTAGGACAAAGGGAAAAGTTGGGGAGAGACATAGAGAGGAGACAGAGAGAGGAATTGGAAGTTTGGGGACTCCAACTCGGACATGGAGAGAAATCCAGGACAATCTCTGGGACTAACACTCAACTCACAAACTCTTTGACATTTTCTAACCAACACTACTTTTCACTATTACCCACGCACCTAAATACAACCAATCAAGTTTCTGGGACTACCTACTCATCTGATGAGAATATCGACATAACTGGTAGTATGCTGGTTGCATTTAATTAATTTAAATTAATTAAAATGTACTAATAGCATGATATATGACTGGATAAATCACGGTCAGAATATATAGTTATAAACATTCCATTCTGCAGGTGGAATTAAGAATAATTATATATTAATGTGATATTATCACGTGTTAGCATACCGTTGTTTTTATCCAGGTGTATTGATTTATTCTACTATAAGATAAGATATCTTTTTAGGTGAATTAAAATTCGACTTTTGTAAGAATCTGGTAGATTATTCTTATTGGATGGTTCCAGGAAATGATTAATGAGTTGGTTCAAATGTTATTTTAATTGAAAATCATAGGAGAATAGGATACTATATGCCTAGGAGGATCTAGCCAGCATTGAAAGGGTTATTCAGTTGATTTAACTGTTAGCCAAGGTTTTATGGTTCTACGCTGTGAAAAGCTTCACTTTCTGTGTCTGTAAGGATACCCTCATAAATCGTGTAAGTCTTTTCTAGCAACCTATTCCATTACCCCTACTTATACCCTTTGTGTCACTATACCCCACTCCATCTAGCATGTAAGCTCGTTGAGCAGGGCCCTCAACCCCTCTGTTCCTGTGCGTACTTTTGTCTGGTTACAATTATGTGTCTGTTATTCAACCCATTGTACAGCACTACGTAATTTTGCTGGCGCTATATAAATAATAAAATAATAATAGTAATGGGTTGCAGTTAAACTAATCATAGCACGCAACTGGAAAATCTCCGCACCTATTTCTTTAGTGGTAACACAAGTTATATTTAAATTAAAGATGGAAGTATTACTTTATAAGTCACAGAGATTGGATCAAAGGAAACACTATTGTAGTGAATCCTGGCTCAAAATAATTGTTGGTATATGAACAAGACAGACCCCGAGTAGCTAAATGGGATCTAAACAATCAGTTTCAACTTTTTTACTCCTTTGCTATGCGGACGGAGATCCCCCAAACCCCTCTTTGTTGTTATCTAACCTTGTCTTATTGTATTGTGGAAAGCCTTTGTATTTTCTGCTTTGTTGTTTGTCTTCTTATTAAGATTTTTTAAAAATGAATAAAGAGTAAAAAATAAGGAAGACCAAAAAAGTCCTTGAAATTGCACCATGAAAATAGTGGTTATAGTGTGGTTCCCTAAATAATATTTTACTTGACATACTATTAATATCATGGCAGTCCAGGGGGTTTAGCTCTCTCCCCTGATGAATTTAGCAACAAACTTGCAATGCAGTACTAACTACACCAATAAAGAATTGAATAACTTCAATGTCTTTTATTTATATTGTCTAGATTTTCCAGTATAAGAGTTGGTGCTATATGGTTAGGTCTACCCCAGTGGACATAGGCTTTATTTTGCCTTTAATCTAAATATTATGTCTAGTTTTGTGTCACGGTAGTTTACCCCTACACGCAAGATTTAGTTCAACAATCGACAGATAGAGCAGATACGACTTACCGGACCTTAGAATGGCCGGACTCGCCGTATAGCAGAGAATAGACAGAGTCAAGAACAAGCCGAGGTCAATGGAACAAAGAGACAGCGAGAACAAAAACTAGCCAAGGTCTGGTACACAGTAGTCAGTAAGCAGGCAAAGAAGACAAAACAGGGATAGAGAGATAAACAGAGTCAGATACAAAGCCAAGGTCAAGTACGAAAATCACAACTGAACACAACAAGCGCTAAAGGGAACTGAAACAGAAACCACGACAGGGCAGGGAGTTAAGGGATAGGTAAGTATAAATACCCTAAACTTTACTTTGTTTGGCCCCTGTCATATCCACGCCCCCAAAATGTGAGTGTCTGGGGAATGTGGGATGACAGGGACCAATGTGAGCACTTTTCATCTTTTGGCTCCCACTGCCCCTTTAAGAGCGTGCCTGAGACGCGCGGCACGCTCTTAGAGCTAGGCGGGACACGTGACCGCATCTCGCGGTCCGTGCCCACCTTCATTCAAGAGCCTCGCGCGGCGGTAAGTGAGGACCTCGGCCGGCCCCCGGGTAAGGTAAGTACCGCTACAGTACCCCCCTGAAGACATGCCCACTGGGCGGGGAGGACCAGGCCTGGCAGGAAAACGAGAATGGAAGGAACACACAAGGCGAGGAGCATGAACAGCGCCAGCGGAAAGCCAACTGCGTTCCTCAGGCCCATAACCCTTCCAATGCACCAGGTACTGGAGTCGACCCCTGAGAAAACGAGAGTCAAGTACAGCAGCTTCTTCGAATTCCTCATGACCCTCCACAGAAACAGGAGGAACATGCTGGGTATAGCGGTTACACAGGAGAGGCTTCAACAAGGAGGTGTGAAAGACGTTAGGAATACGCAGGTTCTTAGGAAGATCCAAGGCATATGAAACAGGATTAACTCTATGCAAAATACGGAAAGGACCTATAAAACGGGGGGGGGCAACTTCATAGAAGGCACACGAAGGCGGATATTGCGAGTGGAAAGCCAAACCCTGTCCCCCACGACATAGGACGGAGCTGCCCTATGTTTGTCAGCTTGAACCTTTTGGCGAGCAGCGGAATCCACCAAAGAACTCTGAACCTGCTCCCAAGTAGTACGTAAACCAGCCAAATGTTCATCCAGAGCTGGCATGCCCTGTAAGGAGAATGCAGCTGGAAGAACAACAGGATGTCGGCCATAAACAACGTAGAAAGGGCTTTTACCGGAAGATTCATGAGCAGCGTTATTACAAGCAAATTCAGCCCATGAAGCAGGTCAGCCCAATTGTTCTGATGGTGGGATACGAAAAAACGAAGATACTGCTCTAGGGACTGGTTGGCACGTTCAGCAGCTCCATTAGACTGGGGGTGGTAAGCGGAGGAAAATGAGAGAGAAATACCCATCTCTGAACAAAAAGCTCTCCAGAATCTGGAAATGAATTGGCTACCCCTATCAGATACAATTGATATAGGAATGCCATGTAACCGAAACACCTCCCTGGTGAAGATAGAAGCAAGTTCCCTGGATGAGGGCAATTTGACAAGAGACACAAAATGGCCATCTTAGAAAATCAAACCACTATCATCAGGATGACTGTTTTGCCATTCGAAGGAGGCAATTCAACAATGAAATCCATGGATAGGTTGGACCAAGGCCTCTCGGGTATGGGCAACGGGTGCAACAACCCACAAGGAACTCTATGAGAAGACTTCATACTGGCACAAGTAGTACATGCCCGAACGTAATCGGTGATATCCTTGCGTAAGGAAGCCCACCAAAAATATCTAGAAACTGCTGTTAAGGTTTTAGAAACACCAGGATGTCCAGCAGTTTTGGCGTCATGATATAACGACATAATGTCCCGTCTTTCGGGAACATCAACAAACAGTTTATCAGTAGGTTTCTCACTGGCTGCCATGTTTTGTTTAGCCTGTATAACTTGTAAGAGTGAAGAAGAAATAGATAGAACCGTAGTAGCTATTATTCTGTCCGGGGGAATGACAGGGGTATTATCAAACAGTTGTTTGTCGGTAGTTTCAAATTGTCTAGACAGAGCGTCAGCTTTAGTGTTACGATCACCTGGTCTGTAGGTGATGATATAATTGAAATGAGATGAGAACAGTGACCACCTGGCCTGCCTAGAAGACAATCTTTTGGCTTCACTAAGGTAGGAAAGGTGTTTGTGATCCGTAAAAATGAGGATGGGGTCCTTAGTACCTTCTAAAAGATGTCGCCACTCCTTGAGTGCTAAAACAATAGCAAGGAGTTCTCGATTGCCTATGTCATAGTTCTTTTTGGTTTTGGACATCTGTTTGTAAAAGAAGCCACAAGGATGTAATGGCTTATCAGGTGATTCTCTTTGAGATAAGACAGCACCTACCCCAATATCCGAAGCATCAACTTCAAGAATATAAGGCAAAGAAGGGACAGGATGCTGTAAAATAGATAGAGATAGAGCAGATACGACTTACCGGACCTTAGAATAGCCGGACTCGCAGTATAGCAGAGAATAGACAGAGTCAAGAACAAGCCGAGGTCAAAGGAACAAAGAGACAGCGAGAACAAAAACTAGCCAAGGTCTGGTACACAGTAGTCAGTAAGCCGGCAAACAAGACAAAACAGGGATAGAGAGATAAACAGTCAGATACAAAGCCAAGGTCAAGTACGAAAATCACAACTGAACACAACAAGCGCTAAAGGGAACTGAAACAGAAACCACGATAGGGCAGGGAGTTAAGGGAGAGGTAAGTATAAATACCCTAAACTTTACTTTGATTGGCCCCTGTCATATCCACGCCCCCAAAATGTAAGTGTCTGGGGAATGTGGGATGACAGGGACCAATGTGAGCACATTTCATATTTTGGCTCCCACTGCCCCTTTAAGAGCGTGGCACGCTCTTAGAGCTAGGCGGGACACGTGACCGCATCTCACGGTCCGTACCCGCCTTCATTCGAGAGCCGCGCGCGGCGGTAAGTGAGGACCTCGGCCGGCCCCTGGGTAAGGTAAGTACTGCTACATTTTGAGAAAAGACTTTCATCGCGAGTTACCAGCCTTATTTTCACTTTGGTATCTCTCAGCGCAAACTGCATCTTATTGGCACCAGTTAATATTGAATCAGGGAAGTTTATTTCTTACTGCTGAACCAACAATGAAAGTTCCCTCTACATCCAAGAGCTCTTACCTCCCCTTTTCTCTTCCCAGTTGGCCAAGGTAAGCCCAGAATGTACTGGGAAATTTATTTGTACTTACAATACTTTTGGCCATTGTACATTTATGATCAATTACAGATGTAAACTCCTAATACCATTAAGCTATTATTTTGTATTAATGAGATTTATTGATTGTTTGTTACTAGCATATTTTGTTTTCAATATATTTCGGGTTAACTTTACACTTTGTTTTTATAATATATTGTTTGCAGTGCCAGACACATTGCACATTTTCTTGTTTATTTGAGTGGTTCCAACATTAAAACCACCTGCTTGCACGGCCTGAGCCTCATGGCGGCTGGACGTGCTTCTGGTGAGCTCCGAGCAATCTGAATCCTAAGCTGTATAACCTACTCCCACATGCCAAATCATCTCACCCCAAAACTTACCTGTCTCCGAAGTCTGTCAGGGTCTACTGGGACACTTTTACATGGTTTATTCTTTGCTGAATCTGGTGCTCCCGATGAGGACTGCTATGACTGTCGGACGGATTATGCTGCTGATCCCCCGTCCTGCACAACACTGAGTCCACACAGGGATATCTTGTAAACCCCCCACTCCTGAACTGGTTGGGGTTATCCCGGTCCCCACTGGCCTGTTCTACTTACCTGTGTTGCATCCTGATGCTGACTGCAGTCTATACTCGCACATCTAAGCTCAACAAGATGGCGGACATGGCTTGCCCTCAGAATCCTATGCTTCAGCAACCCACAGAGGCCTATCAAGAGCCAGTGGAATGGTCCCTGTGGAAACTGGAGAAAATATTCTCACGCTTCTGAAACATCCTGGATAACAAACAAGGAAAGCTGGGAAGCTGTTAACCGGGTTGTGATTGAGGCCGCTTTGGGCACAACTTTACCTCAACCACCTGGTTTCACTCATTGTCGAGGGCCATCAGGGGATTTACCCCAAAACATTGACCATGCGGATAGAAGACATTCTACCTTTGGCTGCATCGAACCACCAAGTCTTCTGCTATTCCCATAATGGGAAGGCATTGGACACTCAAAGCCCACAAGTCTGTGGCTTCAAAATGCAGGCCTCCATACCAACCAGGGGCTAGAGGGTGGCCTTTCTTCACCTTGATGCCATGATGCTAACTTTTGTGACCTCAGATCATCCATGTGTTTTCCTGTCTTTGGCATCGGCTGAATGCGGTCCATGCAGGCAGCCCTTTTGCTTTTACTCAGCATCTCTTTGCTGATGATGAAGGCCCTCCTGCCCCTCTTGCACTGTTCATGCCTTTTACTGAATGTTGATGCAGTGTTTTTTTATATGTTGTTTTCTTCACTTTTTGCGTCTCTGTAATTGTCGAGTGGTATTTCACTCCTTCAGTAATCTATGGTTCTACTCTATAGCATCTCTTATACTCACTTTGTTTTAGCAAATTGAATTGTGTTTTAGCTGACATATTTACTTTAAATTAGAAAAAGTGCAGAGTCCTTTGCATCTCAAGTTACATGTATATCTATACCATGATATTTACACTCTAATAGAATGTCTTTGCAAGTTAAGTTTGTTAAACAATGCACTGCAAAAAAATAAAGAAATTAGAAATAAAACAAACACCTGTCTAATATCGTGTAGGTCCCTTTTGTGCTACCAAAACAGTTCTGATTCATTGAGGAAAAACCACACAGTATCCAGACAGAAAAAATCATGAAAACATTCACATTTATTGACATAAAAAACAAATGTGCATGGCATAATCTTAGGACAGCAGTCCTCAAATATGCAGTGATAGTCCAAACATATAACCTGTCACAAGCATGAAACGTAAGTAACATAAGATAAAAAAATTCCAGGACAACCCACAGCTGCTGAAGATGGGGGAGACCACTGTGACGAGACCAATCTCGCCACATTGCATTGGAGAAGCCCGGTTGCTCGCCTGTTGCCTTTGGATTATGGCCCCATGTTAAAAGCTTTTTTTCCCCTGCAGAAAAGGCTTATTCGTGCCTTTTCTGCCCAGTGTTCAGTAGATCCAATCTACCGAACTAACACACGAATGACTGGACCACCTGGGAGCTGGAGTGGGTCGGCAATTAACCTCCCAGAAGCTGCGGTTAACCACAGCTTAATTGACGAATGCTGGGTGGCCGCCATTCGTATACCGAACACGAGGTCGCGGCCATTTTAAACACGTGAACGCACAGCGGTGTTCGACGCCCAACTCATGGAATGGAAAACGGATACATTTTGGCGCGAACGGCACTGAATCCGCTGACCTCCCTTCTTGTTTGGTAGAAGTGCACGAACAGCCCTATATTCGGTAGTTGTACCTGACTACACCATACCCCAGATAGGAATCCCGTGGAGCTCATTCGTATGAAAACTGACTTTGTGAACACTTTGGCTCCACGGCGATTGGACTGTGTGCCTAGGATCTGAGCGCTATTCGGTACTTTGGTGCGCTCAGATCCTAGCTATCTGGGGACATGTTGAATGCCTGTAAAATGGAGTAAAATATATTTTGTTATTGTCATCTAAAATGGCGTTTAGGCTCTGTCCTGGGAGATAATTGAATTACTTCACAATTATCTCCCTGAGCAGAGCAGAGGGTGCTGGGTAAGAAAGGGGAATGGCTAAGTGTGTACCCTGTGATTGGTTGCTACAATGTCCTTGTCACAGTCTTCCATCTTGTCCCCTAGGGGAGTGTCCACCAGGTGGGAGACCTGCATAAATACTGGGCAGGTAGCCCTCATTAAACAGACCACTGCTTGACCCTCAACACGGAGCCTTGTCTCGTCTTCGGGGGGATTTACTGTATGCTGATAGAGACTGATTGCTAGAAGTGTAAGCCGCTTGGGTGCTTTTCCTATTCGTCTGCTAACAGCTATTCGTGAGGTTCCAGTTTGTGAGTTTGGAGTGCTATATTGTATGCAGTTCGGGAATTTAGAGCATTCCCTTATATGCGGTTTGGGAGTTTGGTGTTCTCTAGTAGCTGTGCCTGTATCTCTGGAAGGGGAAGATGTTCTAAACAGCGGTTTAATCCTTTTATGTCTGGGGGTGCCGTTACAACCACCAAGAAAGCTGACCCTGAAAAAAGTTAGAGAAGCCCTGGACGGCTGTAGGTTGAGGCGAGGATATAATCTCCTTAAGAGGTTTGAGCCCCTGGTCTGAAACTACTGTACCTAGGGTGAAGTAATTAGAGTAATGGTATAATTTAAAGGAGGCAGGTGTAAGGCCTGGGTGGAATTACAGATTATGTGTTTTGTCGGTATAGAGGGGAAGGCTAACCTGATATGCTGGGCAGGGTCTTAATACTTTGCCATACCCTCAAGGTTGGTATGATTGTACGATGGTTTGAATAAGGGGAATGTAAAAAAGCCTGTCCCTTGTTATGCCAGGGAATAGAAAATATTGGCACCTGGAAACCAGAGCTTTCCAATTGTACCCAGTGTGCAGGGTTGGGGGGTTTTGCACACTCATGAATTCTTGTGAGAATAACCGATTTGTAATAAAGTTCCAACTTGGGTAGGCTTAGACCTCCCTGCAGTTTGTTACTAGACTCTATATGGAATTCTGAGGTGCTTTTGAGTCCAGATAAATGTACTAAATACATTTTGGAGTGCAGCGAAAAAGGATTTGGTAAGGATAATAGGTAGAGTCTGTAATGAGCATAGGATTTTGGGGAGAGTAGTCATTTTAAGTATGGGAATAGGGCATTCAACAGTGAACGCTGCTATTTTAAATTTTTTTGAAAAGTTATATGTGTCCCAGTAAACATGGTGGATCTGGTCACCCTGTATATATTAGTTATTGTAAGTATATCTGCTGGTTGATGGTAGTACATGGATGGAAGTGAAATCGCTGCCCAGCTCTAGAAGCTTATACAATTAATGTCATCTTGGTTTGCATACATTTCAGAATTACCCAAGTATATGTTATGTTTTCTGAGCACTGTATTCCTTTCTAAATTGTAAGCTCATTTGGGCAGGGCTCTCTTATCCTCTCTTATCCAGTATGTCAATCATGTTTGTAAGAATTACGTTTTTAGTGTTAGCTTGACAAATACTTCATTTTTGGTCGAAAAATTGCTGTCCACATGATGATCCAATAAACTACTTTAAATTTGAACACAGTGAGTGCCAGAAGCTTCTTTCTCATTGTTTGTTTAGCATCATGTAAAACCTTTCAAAACTCTAACAAGAGATCAAATATATATATATATATATATATATATATATATATATATATTTAATACAATGTTAAACAAAAATCTGCACACCAGTCAAGCCATAAGACTTGCTTTTTCCCACAGAAATCCCAAATCTGCAGTGATGTTACAACCGCAAAGGATTCTGGGTAGGCATATGCAAATTAGTTTTGAATTAACTATCCACAGACTTCAAGTGGAAGGGGTTTTCAATCACACTTTTTCCCCACCATAACCTATTTGGATATATATATATATATATATATATATATATATATGCACACCCATTGTTACATTTTCTCTCTAAACCAACCAAGAATACATCAGAGGATGGCAGTTTTGTACCTTTGGCAGGTGGTAGAATGTGGCCATCCTGTGGTTGGATTTAATAGGAAAATGTATATTTCAAATCATTTATACTTCCAGCAGTCAAAGGATTTCAGGAAACTTGGTATAACTATTTGGATTCTCCAACTGACCAAAGGATTTGTGGGAGGATTTCTCAAGATAGATGACCACCACTCTATCACCCCTGTCAGACTGTTGTGTGATGATGTCTTGACCGAATTCCATTTCTTTTGATTGGATAATGTCTTACTTGTATATGGTGCAATCGGGTTTATGTTTATATTTATTTATTTTTGGGGGGCGGGGAAAAACCTTTTGATTACCTTTTTTCTGAAAAATATTTTGTATCAGAATGAAGAAGCGAAGAGAAGGAAAAAGTGAAGAGAAAGGTAGATTGAAAGCAAGATGAGCTGCAAATTACAAGTGGAAATAATTCAGTAAAAAGGATATCCAGGTCAAATAAAGCAGCAAGGCATGGGGAACCTGAAAGGCTCACTCAACACAAATAATTTTAATATAAGGAAGGTAAAGAAAAATAAAAGTCCTTTAAGGGGGTGGAGCTAGCCATCAAGCAGAGCAGAGGTGTGGGTCCTGAGCTCCTGCAAATTAAGCTGATTTTGTGACTTTAACCCCAGCCAACCTGGGATTAAACACACTGACAGGCATCAATATATCACGGGGGGTCCGGCAAAGTGGCCTGAAGGTTTGACAAAGTCTAATACCCGCTGGGGGCCGCTGATCCACAGCTGCGGCCTGCTGTAACAGAGCTGGGGAGAGGCGGCCGATCTCCCTGCTCACTAGCAACGGAACTGTCTTGGATCACTCCTACCCCCCCCTTGGAGCGGCGGGGGTCATCCCGGTCCCCACTGGACTATCTTGATAGGCCATCACGGCACCTACCTTTTAACCCACGCCGGGGCCTAGTCACACTCTGCAGGCCTAGCTGCGAAATCACTTGGAGCACAGTGAACTGACTCAAAATGGCGGTGGCGTCTCACCCTCGAGATGATACACATGTGCAGTCAGAACTGTCCCCTTATGGCCCCATGGAGCGATTCTTACAGTGGCTCAACGAGCAATTTCAGCCCTTCTGGGAAGCTCTGGAGCACTGTGTGACACTGCTGTGGCCCCAACCATGTGTGAAAATGCAGAGGGGTGAGAGCCGGAAGGTGCAGGAGACTCCCTCTGGCCTAGCTGTTCCTGCTACTGGCTTACCTAGGCTGAGGGTCACCAAGGGATTGACCCTGCGACATCGCCCACATCGACGGAGGGCCCACCGCTCCAGGCGAGGACAAACAATCGGGACCCCCTGCTGCTCCCCGTCCGGGAGGGACTCAGCCCATCCAGGTTACCGGGTCCGCGGCAGATGTCGGCCTTTATACTGGCCTGGGGCTGGAGGGTGCACTTACCTTGCTCCCAACGTTCTGCCACCTCTGCACACTACCTCGCTACAGGTATCACCGACCGGGGCTGGAAGCAGAGGCATACCCGACACTTGGACCTCACTTGGACCGGATGGATCTCGCTACCAACCCCGAGCAAAGCCCAGTCAAGGAATTAGGTGAAGAGGCTCTACATGGGGGACAGCCTGATTAATGGAATGCTAATGCTAGTTACCCTACCCGATGACCTGCACCCACATATGTGCCCAAGCCTGTACGGCCTAGCGACCTAGGACCCCCTGAGCATGTTTATTAGACTTTCTTAATATTGTGCATCTTTAGAAAGCAGTTTCATGTTTAAATGTTCAAAACTGCAAGGTGCTCAAGATCAATGGTAGATTCCTGCATGTAGTTAATAATCGTGCACTTTGGGCATGTTATACTATTTTTCTTATTTCATCGACTTAGCTTACTTAAATTAGCACAATATGCTTACACGATAAACTTAATCTACTCAGTAACCAGTGGTATTCACTAGTTAAAGGCAGCATGTTATACCACAATCTAATTGTGCTTATACATTTGGCGTATGTCATGCTCTGTGTTTTTAAATGTTGTTTTGAATAACCGGAAGGCGATATTTGCTAGCAGACATATATTTTCTGCTTTATCTAGCCATGTTATTAGCTGTTTCAAATGTTTCAAATATAAAATTGTGCATCTTTCCCCGTTCAACCCAAATGTAAAACGTGTCCATAAACCTGAGGATTGCCGTTGGGGTACCTCAGGCTTGCTGTAATTCTCTCATGCACTGCAAAAAAACAAAATATTTTTTTTTTTAAAAAGTCCTTTAAGATCATGGCCTCTCTGAAAATAATAAAGTGGATTGTTTGCATTAATCTTAGTTGCACATTAAGATTCAGCTAGAAATATGAACTGAAGCTATGTTGAACAATGACTGCAAAAGTCAGACTTGGTACCACCCACAAAATGAACTGGTTTATGTAACAAGCTGTCACACCTATAAGTGATTAATTTCCATTTTGTAAATTCTATGAGATTTGTTTTCTAACTATGGATTGCTATAACCATAATATTTTTAAAGGAATACTATAGGCACCCAGACCACTTCAGCTCATTGAAGTGGTCTGGGTACAGTGTCCCTATTGCACTTAGTGCTGCAATGTTAAACATTGCAGCACTAAGTCTGCCTCCAATGGTTGTCTCCCAGACAGCCACTGGAGTCGCTTCCTGCATCCAAATGGACCTTTGCTCTGGTATCTGATGCTGGACATCCTCACTTTCTGCATGAGGACATCCAGCATCAGATTTGTCCGCAGAGGAAAGCACTGATTCAATGCTTTCCTATGGGGAGATCTAATATGCGCACGGCATTTGCCGCACATTCGCATTAGCCCCCTGCTCATCGTGGGGAAGAGAAGGAGGCGGAGCCGCGAGCCAGCAACAAGGGACATCGGCGCTGGGATAAGATAAGTGGGTGGTGCGCAAAGGAGGGGGAGGCAGACGGAGCTATACTGCCAGTAATACAGCTTTAAAATTTCTAATATTCTACATTACAAACATTTTCTATTCATTTACCAATGGAATACACAGATATACCAGTAACAAGTATTTCGATAACACATGTTAACCAAAGTAGGCTGTTGCAAAAAGTGGCATTTTCTTCCATATGACATAGAAAGGTTAGTTTGAAATTTACCAAAACCTTTTTTTTTATCCTTGCTCTCTCAATAACACAGTTTAAATTATAGTTTGTCTGTTAGCATTATAATCTTTATTGCACACGTCACCATAATCTTTTAAAAGGCCAGTTCAAAAAATAGTGAAATTTATTGAAATATAAATTCTTTCACGCCTAAATTATTGATAGCGAAAAAAATGATTGAATTTAATTATTTTTGTATGATTGGTTTGTGAGCTCTAGTCCAGCTAGTCCACTTTGCAACTCAAATGATATTTCTGAGTTTGATGAAACGTATCCTTTTGTACAGGCAGCATAAGCTATTGTATTTATAAACCATAAAGAACTGTCACATAAGTAGACTTTTTAATCAATCAGGAAAGATCCACTAGTATCGGCATCACATCATATTTCCTGTGATATAGATATGTATTCTATATTAAAAAAAAAAAATGACATTATTATTTACAACAATATTTATCTTTGATTTTTTTCAAGGCTTGTGCTACCTCCTTGTTCCTTAAACTATAGATAAGTGGATTTAGCATTGGAATAACAACACTATAAAATACAGAAGCAACTCGATCCTGGCTCATGGAATATGTAGAGGTAGGTCTCAGGTACATAAAAAGGATAGTGCTGTAGAATATTGTGACCGCCACTAAGTGAGATGCACATGTAGAAAAAGCTTTTTTTCTTCCTTCTGATGAGCGAATCCTCAGTATAGTGGTTATAATGTAGCTGTAGGAAACAATAATTGTGGAAAGGGAGCTTGTTTCAGCAAATCCTCCAAATATAAACATCAGAATTTCATTCATGGTTGTAGCTACACAAGACAGCTTCAAGAGTGGAGGCACATCGCAGTAGAAATGGTTAATCTTGTTGGTTTTACAGAAAGGTAGTCGAAAGGTACAAATGGTATGAAGTGTTGAATTTAAATAGCCAAGAGTATAAGCTCCTGCGACAAGCTGGATGCAGACCTTGTTACTCATAACAACAGAGTACAGCAATGGGTTACATATTGCTACGTAGCGATCGTAGGCCATTATTCCTAATAAGAAACATTCAGTAGTTACAGAGGCAGCAAAAAAAAACATTTGTAGTGCACATTCATTGTAACCGATGGCCTTGGTTTTTGAGAGGAAGTTCTCCAGTGTTTTTGGTGTTATGATAGTTGCATAACAAAGATCTAAGAACGACAAGTTGTTGAGAAAAAAATACATAGGTGTATGGAGTCGGGAATCTGCTCTGATGGCCACTATGATGCCTATGTTACCTAGAAAGGTGACAATATAAAAAATAAGGAATATAATAAAAAGTATAATCTCTAGTTTGTGGTTATCAGTGAGTCCTAGAAGAATAAATTCCTTGAAATGTGTATTATTCCACCCTGCCATTTACAGTTCTCCTATAATGCAAAGCAAACAACACTTTACATGTGAACCATATATTAGCAGACAAATCTGATTTATATAAAGAAAAATTTAATTTAAACTCCCCTCCAAAAAAACAGAGCACACTTAAACGCTTGTAGCTTAGCTATAAATGTGGCTTCATTGAAACCAAGTAACCAACATGTGCGCTGCACAACATACTACAAAAAAAATCCCCAAAGTGCAAAATAATATAGAATATACCACTTAAATGAAACTGTTAATTTGAAAAATGTTTTGTCGTTACAAAAAGAAAATATTACATTGAGAGAAAAAATATTTTATTTCCGATGCTGAGCTCTATTCTTCATCCAAGTCTTGCCCTTGGCTTATTGATTGACCTTCTCAAGTGAAATTAAAATTCTCTGCAACTCCAAAAACATGCCAATACACTCATTCCCAAAATATGTACAGTTGCTAGGATCAGAAAGTTTTCCCTCCTAATTATGAACATATTCAAGCATGTATTAGCTATATCTGGGCATATGGGTTATGAAACAGATCCCTGATATTCTCAAAACTATCCATCCCTCTTGAAGGTTTTGTCACTAACCAGAGACTTCCTCCCAATCCATTTTAGATATACTCATTCCATATTTTTTAATGACCTCCCCCCATACCCATTGTCTGGTGCTCCACTTTTTTCTCTGTCCCCCTTTCTCTTTCTCCTTTTCTATCTAGTCATTTTTCTTTCCTACTTATTTTTTTCTTGTTATCCTTATGTTCTCCTCCCTCTTAAAAAATATTTTTAAAGAGGCTAATTTGCCACACACACTCATAAGTATAATTATGTTTGTAATTTTTGTTTACTCTTCTGCATACTTTGAAAATGAAGAAAATAGAAAACAAATTTACTGATAGCAGAATAGCAGCTTCAGGGTGACACAAGAAATAAAAAACACCATTAAACACTGGTAAGTAACATGGAAAAGAGCTGGGTTGGGCCCAAGATAATTGCCACACATGGTCTTCCCTTAATCTGGTTTCCTCACTGCTTCTAGAGTCCTATTAACTGTAAGTATCTTTTCCCACAAATTTTCCCTTTTTGCCAGTGCATCATTTCTGAGGGTATTCGTGAGTATGAATTGCCACCATTGTGGATCACACAGGAGAGTCAAATGTGATCCACAGTGGTAGCAATTCATACTCATGTTAGTGAATGCTTCTGATCTATCCTACTTGTGCAAATTAACCCCATGAGTAGAACCCTCACATAATGTTAGTGAATGCTTCTGATCTATCCTGCTTGCATAAATAAACCCCATGAGTCAGTGGCGTAGCTTGAGCTTTTGCAGCCTGGAGTTTGATGCCCCTATGTCCGGGGCAGTAGCGGACGTCCGTGGCTGCACCAGACATACCTCTTTTAAGTACTCAGCGCCTCTAGCCCAACAAAACAATCTTTTCAAGTTTCTTTAAGATATACACCCAATGAATACATGCATGAAAAATTCATTCATGTAATTCATTGGTGGCATATCTTCTAAACAGTGATTATATTTGGTGAGGGAGTTGCCCATTTGGACAGAGTGCTCTTTTAAATAATTGTTACTGAAGCACTGTCCATTGGGTGGCCCTAAGGGCTTGGTGAACCTGATGGACCCTCACACAGGTTCCCAACCTGTGCGGTGCTTCTGCACCACCGCCAAAGGTTTGGGTAATCCTGTTTTAGATTATGACAGGGACGGCAAGATGCAGCTCCTGTCAGAGTGTTGCCTGGAGCCGTGGCTTCAGCTGGGTCTATGGATGGGCTGGCCCTGGTTTCTATGTTTAAACAGATTTTATTTTGCCATGACCCCAAGTATATGATCTAGGATTGGCATTCTCCTTCTGTAACCCTGCCTACCAGCCCCTGCCCCCACGCAGCATCCCCTGTCTCCCCCTCTCTCCCAGCAGCCCCATGTCCCACTTCTCACCCAGCAGCCCCATGTCCCACTTCTCACCCACCAGCCCCATGCCCCCTCTCATACCCTGAATGCCCTGTCTCCCCCTCTCACCCAGCAGCCCCAGCCCCCCACCTAGCAGCCCCATATCCCCTCTCATACCCTGAATCCCCTGTCTCCCCTCTCACCCAGCAGCCCCTGTACCCCCACCAAGCAGCCCCATGTCCCTTCTCATACCCTGAACCCCTGCCTCCCCCTCTCACCCAGCAGCCTCTGCCCCCCAACCCAGCAGCCCATCTCCCCCTTTTACCCAGCAGCCCCTGTTTCCCCCTCAGCATCCTCTGTCTCTCCCCCAGCAGCCCCTGTCTCCCCTCTCCTCCAGCAGCTCCATGTCCCCCATCTCACCCAGCAGCTCTCATACCCAGTATCCCCATGTCACCTCTCATACCCAGTCTCCCCTTCTCACCCTGCAGCCCTATGTTCCCCCTCTCCCCCAGCAGCCCCTCTCTCCCCTTCTCACCCAGCACCCCATGTCCCCCATTCTCACCCAGAATCCATTGTCCCCTCTCTCACCAAGCAGTCCTTTTCTCCCTCGCACCCAGCAATTGCCTGCTTCCCTCTCACCCAGCAGTCATTTTTCCTCTTTCACCCAGCAGTTGCCTGCCCCCCTATCACCCGAGCCCCATGTCCTCTCTCATACAGAAACCCCATGTCCCCTTTTGCACCCTGTAGCCCCTTTCTCCCTCTGTCACGTATTCATCCGCTTATAGAAATGTGGTTAATGACATTTACTGTCCACACAGGAAAAGTTGTGCCGAGCAGCAACCTAATCCACAGAAGGGTTAATGCTGAGCAGTAATTGTGCAAATGAAACCTGGTGTCATGTATTCATCCGCTTATAGAAAAGTGGTTAATGACATTTACTGTCCACACAGGAAAAGTTGTGCCGAGCAGCAACCTAATCCACAGAAGGGTTAATGCTGAGCAGCAATTATGCAAATGAAACCTGGTAACTGACTTTGGGGTCAAAGGCCGGTTACAGCCTATCAGAACTAAAGGAGGGGTATTTAGGCCCAGTTCTCAGCCTGCTCAGTGCCCTGTCGTGGTTTCCCTTGTGGTTGTCCGAGAGCGCGTTCCTGTTTAGTTTTCTACCTGGTTTTTGACTTTGGCTTTGTTTATTGACTTCTCTATATTCTGGTATCCTGACTCCAGGCTTTCCTCATCGCTGTGTCCCTTTCTGTGTTCCCTGACCTCGGCTAGTATTTTTGACTATTCTTTGTGCGTTAAACCCGGCCATTCTAAGGAACGGTAATACGTTACTTATTTGTCATCCGTGCTGTACAGTTCTACGTGCTGGATCAAACAGTAATCCTGACACCCTCACACCCAGCAGCCCCATTTCCCCTCTTACACCCTGAAGCCCCATGAGAGAATCTCTCACCCAAAAGCCCCTGTGTCCCCTAAGCAGCCCTATGTCCACTTCCCATATCCTGCAGCCTCATGTCCCCCTTCCCACACCCTGCAGCCCCATGTCCCCTATGACGGAACGCCTGCCACCCCGACTGGGTGCCTCCGTCGAAAGATGCTCCTAGTGCTCGCCAAGGACCATCAGCACTGCACTCGACACCATAACCAACGCCAACCCACAAACCGCCGCAGCTTGGTTTGGGGTTTCGCCGTCCGCATGATTTCATGCCCAAAACAGTTCCAGAGAATTTGGCTGTGCGGCCAGTCTATTTCCAATGTTAACTGCAGTTCAAACAGATGAACGTCAACGTTTGTGCAAATGTCAATGTTAAAGTGCCGTTCGAATTGTCGAACAGCGTTCGACTCCAGTCGAAGCGTTGAAGTTCAGAGAAGGTAAAGTTTCAGTGGTGGTCGTGCCATCGCGTGTCCTATTTGAGTTCCATGAACTCGACGACCAAACAACGCTGAACGCGTTAGACTGAATTAAAATGGCCACTGCCACATGTTCTTATGTCGAATGGCGGCCACTTTGACTACTTCGGCTGTATCCAAAGTGCAACTTCAAACGTGCAAAGCTGTTCCCATATAATTTAAAGAGGCAGAAACAGTGTGTTAAAATCCAGTATGCCCAAATATAGTGTTTAAAGGGCAATACATCCCAGGGGCCATAGTCACAGGGCAAGAGGCTGGCAAGCAGGCCTCTCCAAATCCCAGTGACGAAGGTGCTTTCGTCAGATCCCCCTTCCCACACACTGGAGCCCTGTGTACCCCTTCCCACACCCTGCAGCCCCATGCCCCATTCTCACATCATGCAGCCCATTTCCCCATCTTACACCCTGCAGCCCCATTTCCCCCTTCCACACACTAGATTTCTTATTCCACCCTCACACGAAATCCCCTATCGTCTCCCTCTCACACACACATTGCCTATCACCCCACGCTACATATGGACTGCCCTGAGGGGTATTAAACAAATATACCCACTTTGGAGAGGCACGAATGTTATTGGTGATGACATAATATGAACCCTCTTGGGCCAAGCCCCTCCTAGGGCTGCTCTGCCTTTAAATGCCTGGGCTGAATTTTTGTCCCAGTTCGACCCTGCTTTTGAAGCATAATGGCAAACTAAAAAGATTGTCTGGATGCTGGGAAATTTGCCTCTATAGAGCTCCAGTGTGCTGTAGTGGTTATAGTTCTTGTATGTCCCTTTAACTGTAATCCTAGGCTTAGGACTACCAGTAGAAAATATGATATGCTAAAAGTACACCATTGTCATATAGGAGACAAAATCAGGAGTTCATTATAAGGCATTAACTAATGTTGCTTTTCAAGAAATATTCAGTGCTGAAATTAACTGCTGAAGTTTATAATTTTAATAACCATAAATAAAATACAGTGTGCATAGGAAAAATATATGTATGTATATTTTTGTACAGTCAAAAGTTATACTATTGCATATGTGACGCATTGCTGTTCATAACAAAAACTTTAATGAATTGTGTGTGAATAGTGGGGATATTTATACAACATAAAGTACATTTTTTTCAAAATTAATGTCCAATATTAAAGGACCACTATAGTGCCAGGAAAACATACTCGTTTTCCTGGCTCTATAGGGTCCTTGGGTCCCCCTCACCCTCTGGGCCCCCTCCCGCCGGGCTCTAGAGTGAGGAAGGGGTTAATCTCTTACCTTTTTTCCAGCGCCGGGCTCCCTCGGCGCTGTGGACTCTCCTCCCTCTTCTGACGTCATTGCCTGAATGTGCATGCACGGCAAGAGCCACGTGCGCATTCAGCCAGTCCATAGGAAAGCATTCTCAATGCTTTCCTATGGACGCTGGCGTCTTCTCACTGTGAAAATCACAGTGAGAAGCGCGGAAGCACCTCTAGCGGCTGTCAGTGAGACAGCCACTAGAGGCTGGATTAACCCATTTGTAAACATAGCAGTTTCTCAGAAACTGCTATGTTTACAGCAGGCAGGGTTAACCCTAGATGGACCTGGCACCCAGACCACTTCATTAAGCTGAAGTGGTCTGGGTGCCTATAGTGGTCCTTTAAACTAAAGCGCTCTGTATCAAACAAAGAACAGCAATTCTTAAATGTCAGAGAACACACCTAACGACTGTTAGAGAGACCGAAATAGAGCACTGAAGTGCTGTTATTGATTCTCATATAGAAACATTGCTGCACATAGGCCTATTTAAATTTGTTTACAAGATTCACATTGGTCAAGCATAATAATGCATTGGTAAGTGGAAAAATGTTTATCCACTGTTTGCTGTTTGGTCTTATCAAGGCCTATTTTACTCTGGTCCTAAATGTATTTTATATATCCTAACGGGAAATAAAGTACTGATATGTTTATAAAACAGGTAATGCTATATTTTAATTTGTAAATTACTACAAAGGTCTTATGGATTTTGATAGTACATACATAATATACAAAAATAGAAAGATAATAATGCAGTAAGTTAGTAGATACTTAAATGATAATTGTCACCTCAAAACTATATTTTTAGTATAAGACTTTCATCACATTTTGAAAGGAAATAGATTTAAAAGAAATACATGTAAAAAAAAATATAACAGGATCTTTGAGTCAGACAGTGTGTGAAAACTGACAGTCTATGTGGTCTTAGATAATATAGAGACTAACTTGGTTTTGAAACTTGATGAAAGGATTATTATATTGCAATAGTTTGTTTTGAGGCGAAAGTTGTCCTTTAAATTGTATATCATCAATCATACATTAGTATGTGAAATAACATAAAGTAACAATTACTAACTGTTAATAAATCAAGTCACCATTCCAAGAATTGCTTATTTAAAAAATAGAACTGCTTTATAACATAATTGAACTAAATTAACACTGAAAACCAATTAATCATGGAAATTTCAAAAGTATATCCCAAGGGTTTTATACTATGCTTCTTGTTAATTTCAATGACTGATGACAATAATTGTCAATAATATTCCCAATTTTTTTTTTTGAAAATTAAACGTTTAATTAGTTAAACAACCCATATTAATAATCAGTAGTTTTAAAAAAATAAATTTAAAAAAATCCTTTTCTGGTTTAGATGATGTTTAAATATTGTTCATCATAATTTTTCATTTGAGAGTTCTATTGCTCATATTAATTAATGTCAGTTAGGGTTTTGTATACAATTGTTCTATAACTCTAAAATACTAATTTATTGTTTAATTTTGTATTAGTTCACAGAAATTGAATATAATGTGGCTTAAATAATAGTTGATTTAATTAGTAAAAAAAAATTTTTTAAAATGGTTACATAATTTATAAATCAGGATTGTCTAATTGGAATATTACCTGTTTGATAACATAACAGTACCTTTGTATATATGACATACACAAATGTGGCTCAGCTTAATAAAATAAATACTTTGTAAATTATGAAATTTAGGAAACTATAGTCTGGATCTATACCAAAATGTGACTTTTTGTATCAACTTTGTCACAATGCAGGGCAATAAAAATGCAACCTGATTCTTTTAAGCATTGCTAAATGAACAATATCAGTGTAATACCTTAAAATAATTTGTTCATTCATTTCTCTTCAATGCAGAATACATATTTAAATGTGGCGCAACTCGAAATATAAGATGAATGAACATAAATATTTTTACATTTCTATTATTAATATATAATAATTTTATTTATTTAGCTGTAAGTTGTAAGTGTAAGTTGTTTCTGTACATCCACAGCAAGCATTGTAATAAATAGCTAAAATAGTTCGTGTAAAATAAGAAATGAGGAAATAAGAATTGTCTCAAAGGCACAAAATATACTAAATTATTTAAATATGGCATAAAAAATACTAGCCACGGTAAGAAAACAACCTGTGCTAAGATTGGTATCTGAGATCAAAATTTGAGGAGCTGGGGTAACACATACCTGATGGGTTATTTTCGTTATTGTAATATTAGCAAGGTCAGCTCTGAGATAGAATGTAGATATAGCAAGATTCTGGTCATCTGGGAACAGTTTCCCCAAGGTTTTTCTTTAGCTTCTATACACCCATGTAGATTGTGAGCAAAGTTTATTTCTCTCGAGATAAACATCTTATTAGAGAGGCTCATGTCATGCCATTTTATTTATTTTTTTACAATGTGGTAGTTGAATCACTTTTTTACAGATTGATTATTTTGACCTTAAATTTGAATTCTCACTTTAGTACAGCGGTAGGCAACCTTCAGCACTCCAAATGTTATGGACTACATGTCCCATAATGCTCTTACAACCATAATGCTGGCAAAGTATCTGGGGAAATGTTATCCATAACATCTTGAGTGCCGAAGGCTGTCTACTGCTGCTTTAATAAATAACCCCAAAAGATAATATATTTACTCAGGGCCAAAGAATTAGCTACAGTAAGAAGTGCTTCGATCTGAATAGCTGTCTAGCTTGCCCATCTCTAAAAGAAGTCCTTACAAGACTTTTTCTAGTTTCCTAGCCCCTTGGATTTCATCTAATCTTATGCGTGGTAAATGATTACGTCTAAGCCTACTAAGTGTTTGAAGTAATGACTTCACTTTTAGAGAAATTTGCCAGCAAAGCAAATTAAATCTGATCTTTTATTTAGTTCAATGGAATTTTCTGCATTAGCTCACTCTGGATTTACTAGAAACTAATGCGTTGAAACCATATTTACAGGAGTGTTTGGTATGCACATAATGCTTTTCTTAAAACCAGTAAGTGTGCTTATTGAAAGAATAGATTGAAACAACAAAAAGGTACATCAGTCACCTCTACTATGGAGATCAGGTCATGAGCAATTGTAATAAATGGGCGTTGGGATTCTATCGGTAGAATCCCAATGCACTCTTCATCTACCATCATTCCTCAAGGAAGGCAGCCTGCATTCTGGAGTGAGAAAGGGTGGAGCTAGATGGAGACAGCAACTAGCTTAGAATCCTCTCATTCCTATTTCCATGGGGACCTGTGCTGGGTATGTATTCAGCTCTGCTGGGGCCCTCACTGCACTGCCTCCCCTAAACCCTTTTGGGCCCCAATACCATTTCACTGGCTGCACGTGCTGTAGTTCCGTCCCTGACTCTAATCACCATAACCACTACAGCATGCAGAAATGGCTGTCATGCAAGGATGCCCCTTGGTATGGGCTGACAAAATGTAGAAATGTTTAAGGATAGTTTTACACTTACCTGTCTCTGTCCATCTTGTCTGTACTGTTATGGTAAAGCGAAAGTTCATACATTTGCATTATCGTATTACCTCATAGCATAATAGGTATTATTCATTGACTAAGAGCTATCCGATGACATTCTCAGCCAATGAAAATGATCACAACTTGGTATAAATTGGTATGACAATACATAAGCATAGAAGTATGAATGAACTTTGATTTTAAAATACCAATATCCATAGGCATGTGCAGCACATGTCATTAGGGTGTCTGTCCACACAGGAATCTTCTCCCTTATTTTTTTATATAAAGTGAATATTTATTAAAGGAACAATCATATCACCACACCACTACATCTAGCTGTAGTAGTCATGCCATGAGTGCCCTGGTGTCTTCCCGGAGTAGGTAGTCAAGATGTTCAAAGGGCCATTATAGTGCCAGGAAAACATTAGGTCCCCCCACCCTCAGGGTCCCCCTCCCGCTTGGCTGAAGGGGTTAAAACCCCTTCAGCCACTTATCTTTCTCCAGCGCCGGGCTCCCTCGGCACTGATGACCTCTCCTCCCCCTGCTGACGTTACATCCGAATGCGCATGCAGGAACCGCGCACACATTCAAAACGCCCATAGGAAAGCATTACTCAATGCTTTCCTATGGACGTCCAGCGTCTTCTCACTGATTTTCACTGTGAGAATTACGGATGCACCTCTAGCGGCTGTCAGTGAGACAGCCACTAGAGGCTTAACTAACCCTCAGTGAAACATAGAAGTTTCTCATTTTCCTCCTTTTTTCCTCATTTCTATTATATTTTTTGAAGCTTCTTTTCTGAAACTTTATCATTGATTTTCCTTTGTTACTCTATCTTGCTTTGTGTCTTTTCCTCCCCATAGTCTTGTTGACATAACATTCCTGTTCTGTTTTTTTATTGTATTATTTGAATACTGTTGTTTCTTGCGAGAATTATGTTTTCTACATATAGATGACATTAGGTATTTGTCAGATTATGTACCACTCCAATTTTGTGAACCTGATGGTAATGTTGACCAAATTCCCATTGATAAGAACCATATACCTTTAAATCACACCCATATTGCACCAATACCATCTTGAAGTGTAATGATATAAATGTACTATTTTTATTTGTTTGTACTCTTATTTTGTTTTACCTTTAATAAAATATTTTTTGATACCTTTACCTGCTGCTGCTACTTCATCTGCTCTCCCGTGATCCATCTGATACCAGTGGTCCATGGATACTTGCTTTTAGCCTGTATAGGCACCTTTGGGCTTACTATACAGAGCCTGGCACGGCTCTGAAATTCGTGAGTTGAACCATTTATTGCAAAACAGAAAAGTGCTGGTGCGCATACATATGTATAGAACCCCTCAAGTGTTGAGAAGTATTTAAAAACAGATGATATAGTGCAAGCGTGATACAGTCTACAAGCCCAGGTGTATATGTGTGTATACTTATAGCCTGTTATACTGTACAATTGATATCTGTAATTAAGGAGACAAAAGTACTGGGGGAGACAGAGAAAGTACTCCTAGTGCAATACAATTATTAAAATTATTAAAATTTAAACTAAGATAAACTGTCTCTTTAAAAGTGCAACTCACAAATGTAGAGTGGTATGAGCCCCACTCTAAGCTATCTCGCCCAGGGAGGATGAGCCCCTTGGGTACGTGGGATCTGATAAATGCTCCTGTGACTCCAGTGTCAGGCAAAAAACATTTATTAAAAATAAAAACAACTGATAGTCAAATAGTAAAAAGCACAGTCCAGCTGCAGCTCACCACACCATGCAGAGTTTGATAACAGTTCAGTGTAATCTCTCTCCTTCTGGGGCCGGTCCTGCTGGCTGGTGTGTATATTCAGTTCACTTCCTTGTATCCTGATCACCAGGTCACGTGACGCGTTTCATCTCGCCTCTTGGGACTTTCTCAAACAAGCAACCATTTATTAGCTTATACTCACTTTTGTTTATACAGTATACACTATGTTCTGTGTTATTGTTTTGTAGGCATTGTGAAGACTTTCCTGCCATCCATACATATGTATAAGTATCTACTTATTTTACATCTGTATCTTGTTTGAAGGGTCCACTCTCACTTTGTGTTTTTACACTTTGTTGCTGGTGTTGTCATTCATTATCTATATCAGGGTGTTGGGGTAACACCTATTCCACCCTTCAAAGCATTGATTGTTTTTTGAAGTGCCCTACTTGTATCCTTATCTGTTGCCTCCAATGTCATGTCTCAGTGACTTAGTCTCATTCGCGGCAAGCTTTTGATCTCAACCTTTATACCTGCCTCAGGTCCTAGTATAGAACAGTGGATCTTGTGGGTCCATCACCTCGTGGGTGTAGAAGGAGCTTGTGGTGCTCACTCTGAGGTTTTGGCTGAGGCGGTTTGGTCATTTTGGATGTTTTATTTCCGTTCTTGATCTCATGTTACTTTGTCTTGTTCCCAGGGTGTTCAAAATGTAAATATGAATATAGTCTTGCTGTGAAATTGTGGAATATTCTAGCCTTGATGAAGAAATAATCAAAATATTATTAAAGACAGGAGGCAAAGGTCCCACCAACCCCCGTGTTCTCTGGGGGTTTTTTCCCCTGCATTTCTAATTATGTAGGGTGTTCTTCTGTTTTTGGATTGAGGGTTTGTATTAAGACTTAAAGTGATTCTCCAGTGCCAGCAAAACAAACCCATATTCCTGGCACAAGAGAATCCTGGAGTGTCCCCCTACCTCCCGCCCCCCATCCTATGTCGCTGAAGGGGATAGAACCCCTTCAGCTGCTTACCTGAATCCAAAACCGTATAACGTATCACAACAATTATATCATCAGTGTAAGTGCCGTTTGTGTGTGAAAAATACATTTTACGGTTTTGAAACACTAATATTTGTGTTCAGCGAAGTCTCCCGAGTAAAACAGTACCCCCCATGTACAGGTTTTATGGTGTCTTGGAAAGTTACAAGGTTAAATATAGTGCAAGCAAATTAAATTCTCTGGACTTTCTGCCTGGGTTATCAAGCAGGTTCCACAAAAAATAATTAATAAAATGGCATAATTAGGTAAAAATATTACATAAACATATACGTAGAATAAAAAAATGAAAAAAAAATATATATATACACGTATGTATATATATAATTTTTTAAAATAATTTATAATTACATATAGGTATAAATAGTGATATATACATATATATCTATGTAAATAGATAGATATTGTATTTCATTCTAAGTGTATTTTGATATCTATCTATATATATTAATATCAAAATACAGTTAGAAAAAAATTACACGTTTTTCATTTTTTTTTCCATTTTTAACGTAGTTATATATTTATTTTATATTATATATATTTAATATCATTATATGTATATTTTGATATTTATATATATATAATTATATATATATATATTAATATTAAAATACACTTAGACAGTGTATGTGTGTGTATATGTGTATATATATTATTATTATTATTATTATTATTATTATTGCCATTTATATAGCGCCAACAGATTCCGTAGCGCTTTACAATATTATGAGAGGGGGGATTTAACTATAAATAGGACAATTACAAGAAAACTTACAGGAACGATAGGTTGAAGTGGACTCTGCTCAAACGAGCTTACAGTCTATAGGAGGTGGGGTATAAGACACGTTAGGACAGGAAATATCAAATAGGGTGGGAGTGAAGCAGAGCTGGAGGAGGGAGTAGAGTGCTGCCCTATAGGAGAGAGCAAGAGACAGGTATGTAAGGTAGAGGTTACTATGGGAGGCCATAAGCTTTCCTGAAGAGATGGGTTTTAAGGCTCTTCTTAAATGATTGAAGACTAGGGGAGAGTCTGATGGCGGTAGGCAGGGTATTCCATAGGAAAGGAGCCACCCGTGATGATCTAAGTATATATTATTTAATTTGAAACTGTGTTTTAACTAACTTTTTTCAGGCAGCAGAGGGATTACATCTCCCCATTGTTTACAGTATTTGTTTACTACAGTTAGAATTTAAAGTGAACTCAAAGTGAATTTCAAATTTAAGGTGAAAATAGCTGAGCTGGAAATAGTTAGTTGGGCTACTACGGCCTTACATTTGAAATTCACTTTGAATTCTCACTTTAGTAAATAGCCCTGTCAGTCTTGTATGTATTATGGGAAGGTGGTAGGGATTTGGTGATGACATCTAGCTCATTTGGGATATGTTGGGATATATTAAGGAATAGCACTGATAAATTATTGTAGCTATCTAGAGTCAAAGAGTCAAAGTACATGGTCAGCTTTCCAGGAACCAGCTAATTAGGTGTCCTTGTTTGTTCCAAATATTGACAACTATGTGAAAACAAACTTTGAAATTACATATCAGCTTCAATACTATGTGTTAATGCTAATTTTGTATGTATTCCACTGGTAATGCTTAATTTTTAATAGGGCATTTGAAACTAAGTCTACAGAGACATGTTCGTTCTTATTTTCCATGTGTACTGTAACATGTTCCTAAGCAGTCCCTGAGGCTTTAGGCTTAGTTTAATGGCACTAAAACACAGCTCTCTCAAGAGGTTGTCTGGTTTTGATTAAGGATACATAATTGGGAGCTGTGAAATTAATTAAAAATGGTGAAAACATTTTAGAGTGTGTTGAAATCATAACATTTTGATCAACTGTAGAAAATGCACTAATAATCTCTTAGGTGAATTACCACCTAGAGACCACAAACTAGAATTGTTATTTACAGTCTATGGAGTGCCGTAAACCCCGCTGTTGTTGCAATGTCTTAAAAAAATATTACTAGTTATAATAATTTAAACTATTTGTGGAACTAACATTATGTGTTAAAGTTACAGAAAGATCATATGTTCTACATGGCTAAGCATACTATAAACTCAATAAAATGCTTATAATAGCAGATGAAATGTATCTCTAAATTGTAAGCTATTTTGAGCAGAGTTCTCATCAACATATTGTTCCTGTAATATTTTGTAATGGTCTAATTTATTGTTAAATTCCTCCCTTTTATAATAAAGTAAAGTGATGCAGAATAAGTTGGTGCTAAGTTGGTGCTATATAAATGGCAATAGTAATAATAATAATAATATTGTCAATTTAATTTAAACCTGGAATCATGAATCCTGGTTTAGACCTGGAATCCTGACATGTAATGTTAAACTTTTAATGCCCACGAAGAGTCAGTTCTATCCAAAAAGATAAGCAAGGCAGCTGCTTATGACTACAAACTACAGGGACAGAGACTGAAAAAGGGCAAATATTCATTTTTTTTATGATAACTGAAATAATACTTTCATATATTATAATATCTGTGTATAGCATTGTCTAATGCATACATATAAACAAAAGCATAAAAAAAAAAGGTACCTGAGTACTATCCTAAATCCCATGCACATTTATTGCCCACCAAATTGTAAGCTCCCCTGCCACATGAGGCAAACCTTCAAAGTGAGACCAACCATTACATATAAACTTACAAGCTTCAGTACTTCTAGACTACACTTGCTGTATAGAACAATACTTCTTAGCTGAGGTCCACTGGGTATGTTTTCCATCTCCACTACTATGGTCGAAGAAATGGAGTTTCCATTAGCTCTCGAGAGTTAAGCTCTCCAATCCAGGTGTAAGAATTCCTACCAGAAATGATTCCCTTGCATCAGTTGCGCACTTAAACATTGGACCATGAATGACATTCCTGCGTACATTTTGCATCACTCGCATTATTTTGGTAGCACCGTTGGTGTTTCTGTTTTCATCCACATCATTCTAAAACTTGTCAGTACTGATTCAGGTTGCAACATTTGCTTTTCATACTATTGGCATCCTTGATGTGGCATCAATTTTTTATTCAAGTGTGCATGCACAACTGATACACGGTTATGAAATCAGAGCCTGTTTTAATTTTAGGAATTTAGCTTGATTTCATTGTTCTAGGCCTGTAAGTGTGTTAGTTTCTATGTTTTTTTTTTCTGGTTTTGACCTGGCTTTGTCCCTAGCCTTAATTTTTGTTTTTCTAATTGCCTGACCTGGCTAGTTTTGACTGATTTTGGTAGTTGGGTTTCTGAGCCCGGTTCGTTTGACTCTGTTAGTTTTCTGACCTACAGTTAGTATATTAGTTGTGCCAGTGGCGTACACATGACCCATGGGGCCCCGGTGCGAAAAAATTGATCCGTGCCCCCCCCCCCTCCCGCGCGCGCGGGCCGGGCGGCAACACATGACGGTGGGCACCTGGTCGCAGAGGTTACAGGGCTGCGACCCCTGCGACCGCGGTATGTACGCCAGTGCATGCAGATGCACACACACTTAAAGGACCACTCTAGGCACCCAGACCACTTCAGCTTAATGAAGTGGTCTGGGTGCCAGGTCCAGCTAGGGTTAACCCATTTTTTCATAAACATAGCAGTTTCAGAGAAACTGCTGTGTTTCTGAATGGGTTAAGCCTTCCCCTATTTCCTCTAGCGGCTGTCTCATTGACAGCCGCTAGAGGCGCTTGCGTGCTTCTCACTGTGATTTTCACAGTGAGAGCACGCCAGCGTCCATAGGAAAGCATTATGAATGCTTTCCTATGTGACGGCTGAATGCGCGCGCAGCTCTTGCCGCGCGTGCGCACAACCGACGGGGAGGAGAAGAGGAGGATCGGAGGAGGAGAGCTCTCCGCCCAGCGCTGGAAAAAGGTAAGTTTTACCCCTTTTTCCCCTTTCCAGAGGGTGGGGGGGGGCACCCTCAGGGCACTATAGGTGCCAGGAAAACGAGTATGTTTTCCTGGCACTATAGTGGTCCTTTAAAGGACCACTACAGACACCCAGATCACATCAGCTCAATGAAGTTGTCTGGGTGTCACGTCCCTCTAGTTTTAACCCTGCAGCTGAAAACATAGCAGTTTCAGAGAAACTGCTATGTTTCACTGAGGGTTAATCCAGCCTCTAGTGGCTGTCTCACTGACAGCCGCTAGAGGAGCACACTGAACGTCCATAGGAAAGCATTGAGTAATGCTTTCCTATGGGCGGTTTGAATGCGTGCGCGGTCGCATTCGGAGCTGAGAGGCTGAGGGATCCCCAGCGCCAAGGGAGTCCGGCGCTGGAGAAAGGTAAGTGCTGAAGACACACACACACTCTCACTTACAGACGCATACACACTAGCTAACAGAGACACACTCAGCGACAGACATACATACACACTCACTTACAAAACATACACTCTCATTGACAAACACACACTCACTAACAGACATCAAACAGACTCACTACACACACACTCAGTAAGACACACACAGTAACACACTCACTGACACTCACTAGCAGACACACACACTAACACTCACTCTAACACTCACACACACTAACACTCACACTCACTAGCAGACACACACACTAACACTCACACTAACTAGCAGACACACACTAACACTCACTCTAACACTCACACACACTAACACTCACACTCACTAGCAGACACACACACTAACATTCACACTAACTAGCAGACACACACTAACACTCACTCTAACACTCACACTAACACTCACTAGCAGACACACACACTAACACACACACACTAACACACACACACTAACACTCACACTAACACTGACACACTAACACTCACTCTAACCCTCACACTAACACTAACACTCTCACTCACACACACACACACACACACTAACACTCACACACACTCAAACACTAACACATGTTTTTTTTTTTATTTAATCCCCCCCAGCCTCCTTACCTTTTGGAGTGCTGGGGGGATTCCCTGGGGTCCAGTGGTGCTGCTGGGCTCCTGGGTGGGTGGCCGGTCGGGCAGGCGGGTAATATGTCTTTCCGTTGCTCCTATTGTGCCTTTTGTTAGGTGTAGACATATTTTTCTAAAGAACGTGCCCATTCCTTACAGCAGGGACCCCAGGTAAAAAGTCAAATCAATCAAAAACAGGTTTACTCATTACAGTGGGGATGCCAGGGAACTTCAAGCACCACAATGGTCTCATCCAGCCGCCTCAGGGTATTCTCCAGCCAATTGCTTGTGTCCGAAGCTGATCCGAAGTGTGTCTGCCATCTTTAGTCAGGTTACAAGGTAGGCCTTAGTGTGTCAGGACACTAGCAGGGTCCCAGTATAACCCGAAGGGAGAATCAAAGGCCAGTAAGCAGGTGCCGGGATGACCCTCACCGGCAAGGGGGGGGGGGGGCAAATGGGCACCTCTACCGCCCCCTATGCCTCCCTGTAGAACATTTGGCGGGAAGATTTTCAATTTCCTCCTAGATGCATCCACAAGAAGGCCCCAGTGGAGTTCCCAGCTTAGAGTACCGATCGGAATGTGGGATGTCTCTGTTTGTATCCCTGGTAATTGCGGATTGTAGCCTTTACTGGTAAATCAAGTTTACTCGATAAGGAGTCGGTAAATTATAATTTTTTTGGCTTTCCCTCGGAGCTTGCTCCCGGTGCAACTGCTCAGCGTGGTGGCTTGGCCCCGCCCCCTTGGGAACCAGTATTAAAGATATTGCTGGATTACAAAAAGTGTGATCTACAAAATTAATAAGGGGGTGAAAACCATTATTTATAAAGAAAGGCTAGAAAAAAAACACATTTGTTTTCTCTAGAAAAAAAGACGTCTCAGAAGGGTCATGATAGCAATATACAAATGTATGTTGGTCAGCACAAGCCACTATGTGCTAAACTAAAAGACAAGTTGCAACCCATTTACACTGGAACAAAGGTGTTTTCATTACAGAAGAGGAAAGGGTTCTTTACATTAAGATCCATAAAGATGTGAAATTATCTACCCAAAAATGTTGTGTTATGAAATTCTGTAGATATTTTATCAAAAAGGCTATTTTATAATTAAATTAACAGTGTATGAGAACTCTGAGAATGGTCTCAGTAGTTTGCTCTTCAGTTAGTCCCCGCTAAGGTCTAAACAGTGCTTTTGCTCACTTGTGCCATTACGAAGAGAACCTATACAATTTGCATATCAGATTGATTCTACCCATAAAGGCAGCCCAGGCAGTCAGCAAGTTCTCTCTGTATAAGTGATACAGCAGCCAAGGTCAATCATTTTGGCCTTCTTTGGGCCTCATCAGTGATGTAACTGATGGGCTACATTTAACTGACTCTACATTTAACTGACTAGATATATTTCTCACAGATAGGTTGCTGGAAGCGGTCTGTAAGATATCTTCATTTGGACATTACGGGAAAGCCATTTAAATTAGCAGTGGACGTTGGCTGCGGGACAGGAAATTCCACCCAGAAACTTGCTGCTCATTTCCAGGAAGTGATTGGAGCAGACACTAGTGAGAGTCAGTTAAATGTAGCCCGATCGTGCACTTCTGAGAAGAATATTACTTATATGTAGATCGCACCAATATTGGACTACTGAATTATCCTATACACCTGTTAACCAGCACCACTTCACATATCCTTGAGTGGGGATCATTCCACTTCACGCACCCAAAACCAGAGCTGGATATTAGCTCTGTAGATTGTGAGTAGTAATGATTACCACTATTTTATTATCTTAATCTGCCTACATACTGTACCATTGGAGTCCTGTTTTTGTGTTCTCTCTCGCCATATGCTTCACTGAATTTCAAGTACATACCCGTGAAGACCTTTTCCATCCTATTGTATTTCAAGAGTCCTCCCTATAAGCGTGGATTGCATCGTTCTGGATTTATGATAAGTCATTTGGACTATTATTATTATTTCTACCATTTGTTCTGAGGCGCACCCTTTTTCTGCTTTGTGTTATTTTGTGTTTTATCTATTGTTAGGGGATTAGAGGGGACTCCCCTTTTTCCTTGAGGTGTGCAGCCGTGTACTGTATATAATATTTATTTTCTGTGGCAGCCTAGCGCTGACTCTTCCCTTTGATTTCTCTCATCAGTGATGTGTAGCTAATATTCCTTTACACATAGGAACCACGCTTGGATTACCCTTTTAGTTTAGGGAGAGACTAAGCAAATGTATTCTAACAAAAAAGTGTATGAGAGCTCTGAGAACGGGCAAAAGCTTAAAGGAAGCTAACCCTTCAGTTAGTCCCTGCTCATGTCTAAAAAAATTTTTTGCTCACTTGTGCCATTACAAAGAGTATGTATACCATTTACATATCCGACTCATCCCACCCATAATGGCAAACCAGTACCGACACGTTGGTAAGTTCTCTTTGCATGTGAGATACAGGACAATTGTTTTGTACTCTTTGAACTATAGAGTGCTATGTGTTCAATAAAGTGAGTTACTTCTACCCCTACATTCAGTCTCGACTAATGTGTGCGTAAAAAAGGTTATAATCACTGCTGCTGTACAGGAGAGAAGGCATCAAGAGGAAAAGAGCTATAACCACTGAAACCTTTTCAAGTGGAAAAGGTCCCCAGAGACTCATAGCTATCTTTGGCAACTGGGTCTGAAGCGCTCCAGAGTCCCATGGTAGCAGCGAGGAAGCTGACCTAACGGAGCTACACACCCTGAGTACAGGAGAATCATTACACCCATAAAGCAGCACAGGCTGCTGCCTAGAACCTGTGCTAAAACAGGGGCCCGGCTCTGTGTGTGAGGTCCATGCGACAGGGAGATCAACAGAGCTCAGTGCGTGGCTCTGCCTGTGTACGGAACTAGTTGGAAGAACACCAGGGCACAGGCCATTCCCTTCTTGCACTGCAGCACTGGGAGGAGTTAATGTCATCTCTCTTCCACCCGCGTGAGAAGGTACCCGCACAGGAGGTAGGGGAAAGGCCTGGTGCACAGCCTGTAACATCTCTCTGCCCACAGAGAAGTCAACTTTCTCCAGCACAAAGGTAGGCAAAGAGGAGAGTGACTAATCTGTGTATGTCTGCTTGTCCTTATATGTGTATGACAGTGTGAATTTATGTATCCGAGTTTGATTCAGTGGCAGAGTATATCTGTTTGTGTATTTAGGTGTATGTTTGTGTGTGTGTGACAGTATGTATCTTTTTGTATATATGTGTGGAAATGTGTTTGTGTGTAGCAGTGCATATGTGTTTGTAATGGTGGATCTGTGAATGTTTCTGTATGAGTGATAGTGTGAGAATGTGAGTGTATCTGTGAATGAATTGCTCTAAGAGGATGCACTGATCTGCATATGTTTGGTTTTTATATTTGTAAACTGAACAAAATGACTTGTTGGCCCAGCTCCAGCTCACAATGTTTCAAATCAGTCATTAATCATGGATGTTTTAGGTAATCTGAAAGATTTCTATAACCATCTACTTCCTAAATTAAGTAGTTTTGAGCTGAAAGTAATCAGAACATATTCTTTGGAATTGCATCAAAGGACCACTATAGTCACCCAGACCACTTCAGCTCAATGAAGTGGTCTGGGTGCCAGGTCCCCCAGGCTTTAACCCTTCAGATGTAAACTGCTATGTTTACATTGCAGGGTTAATCCAGCCTCTAGTGGCTGTCTTCCTGAAAGCCGCTAGAGGCGCTTACCCGACGCTCAATGTGAAAATCGCATTGAGCACGCAGAACGTCCATAGGAAAGCATTGAGAAATGCTTTCCTATGGGCGTTTTTAATGAGTGCGCGGCTCTTGCCGCACATGCGCATTCGGCTCCACTCGGGAGCTGGCGTCGAAAGGGGTGGAGAATTCACCAGCGCTGAGGGAGCCCGGCGCTGGATAAAGGTAAGTGGCTGAAGAGGTTTTAACCCCTTCAGCCCTGAGGGAGGAGGGGACCTAAGGACTATATAGTGTCAGGAAAACGACCTTTAACTTTTGCAGACCAATGCCAATTCATAGCAGCAGTCTCCAATTATAAATCAGTCACAATGATCACCCACAGGTGCAAACTGTCTTCTAAGGCAATAGTAAAATATATAAAAAATAATAAAAACTAAATGTGCATTTTAATATATCTTAAGATATATTTTTGTCTATCTATATACTACACTATATTGGCATTTGTTTTGTTTATAGTTTATCCTCATCAGATCAAGACACTAACATCATATCCACAGGCGGGGGATCATACCACCCAGGCACTTTTAAATAGAGCTTAGTGAATGTTTTACACATTGTAAATGCATTTCCTTTTTTTGTTTTTCACATATACCACCACTATAGTCTCACTGAGTGTGTTTGCTCTCGTTTTATATTTGGCATACACACTCCATTGAAGGCACTACGGCGGTCGCAGGAGTCGAGTGGGCCCAGCCACCCTGTCGACCGGGTGCCTGCCGTCATTGTGCTGCAGCGCTTTATAAACGCGACTGTGCCCCAATGATCATGTCAGAGCTGGGAGGATGCCGTCACTTCCCCACAGCTAAGAGAGCAGCGCAGGAGGAGAGTAGGTAGTCAGAGTGGGAGGTTTGATTCCCATCAGCCCGAGCCAGCCACTGGACCCCAGGAAAGTCACCCTCCTGCACATAAAATGTAGGAAACAGGACGGTGACTAAAATGTTTTTACAGTTTGCATGTGTGTATGGTCTGTATCCCTGTGTCTGTATGTGTATCTGTCTGTATATCCCTGTGTCTGCATGTGTATCAGTGTGTGCCTCTATGTATCTGTGTGTTACTGTAAAAACCAAAGAAAAAGTTACCTGCGCTCTTTCCTAAATCCCTATGTATATTTAAATAAATGTTTTGTTTGAACTGTATATATTGGGACTGATGTGTACTGTGGTCGTTGCTGCCGCCCAGGAGTGATGGGAGTGAGCCCAGGACTTATCTTTTTGTGTGTCATTCTGTGTATTTGAATGTTTGTCATTAAGTGTGTCTTTGTATACGTGTCTATATGTGTATCTGTCTGTATGTCTGTGTATCCACATGTGTGTCAGTGTTTGTATCTGTAGAAGTCTCATTCTGTGTGTTAGCATTTGTTATCTTGTGTGTATTTGCATTTATCAATGTCTAGGATTGTACAGGGATTGTTTATGTCTAGGATTGTACAGGGATTGGGTACTGGGGGCCCAGGGCATTTTTCGCACTGTGCCCTGTGGTTTAAAGTTACGCCTGTATACATCTGTTCTTTGACAGAGACAAGAGCGACCCTGATTTGGATTGTTCCAGCTGCCTTCCATTACCCACATCACTAGCGCTAGAAACGTATCCCTTTGTTCTGTTCATAAGAATATGATGGTATAAATCTCTTCTGGTAACAATATAGCCTCATTTCACTCCAAGACATAGGATGTAGACACTAATAGATCAATTTATAAAAGCACAAAAACTCATATGTAATAAATGTTTAAGCCTTCACTGATTAAGGCACATAAATAAGGCACTTTAAACACTCTTATAGGTGGTGCTCTACCTATATGGTGGAAGTGATAAGGATGGTAGTTTCACCCTGAAATCAAATCTGCATATGCCATCATGTGGCAATAAAATCACTTTTAAAAGAAAATCATCAGATAAAAGTCCTCAATGGGATAAAAAAATAACCTGTAGGTAAAAATATCCTGATTTGCATTTTGCCAGTAATAGCTGGCTTTAAAAGTCATATCTGCATAGACCTAGTGTCCTGTTTAAATATGCCGCTATACTGCGATGCTCCGCCTCTCATTTCCGGCCTTCTATATATCTTCCAGGGTTGTGTCCCACAGTCTGTCACGTCTTACATCCAACTGACTTGCGTTCCAACTCTCTATATCGTCTATGAAAGAGGCGAATATTTGTGTTCCATATGAGCATTCCAAAAAGTATATATATTTAAAAATACAAAATGGAAAATGAAATAACACAATTTGACCTTATTAAACCCTAAAATAATCTGAAATATGGCACAATTCCAAATCCACATTTAGTCCTTGTGGTTGTAACATTAAAATTATAAATATATTAAATTTTTTACAATATCATCTCCCCTTGAAGCTAGAGAAACTTTCTCTATATTTCCCAAAAAATTAAGCCACCCTTATTACTATTGTGTTTAACTTTGCAATGTAAAGATACACTGTTCTTATATGTTCTTGTGCACTGGTGTTCTTCCAATATATATTTTAATCCATAAAATGATGCTTTTAGTAAAACAAGTGATCGCTTTTATTTTAGGCTCCCCTTGCGCCATCTGTTTCAGTAGCTACTTTCTTTTTATTTCTTGTATTCAAAACAGTTATCACATGAAATTCTTTAATATCTACATTATCTCTGCACTTTATTTTGGTAGGGTAGTCAGACTTCCAGTTCCTAGCTTATCTATGTATAAACCTTGGTTTAGTGACAGGTATATCCCTTAAAAGCAGGCCCTTACATAGGATTAGCCAATATTTACAAATAATTCTCCATCTTTGCCTATTAAGGATTCCCCATCTATTTAAGATATATCCATTTTTCGTTTCCAAAGTTGGTTTGTCATAGCCCTTCTCTTCCAATGCTTCTTGAAGTATAAGATTGTTGGATGTACTATTCTTCCGTGCACTTCCTTCTAATTCTTAGACATTGCTCCTGTGGGATGATGTCAAGCCATGAGGTAAAGGATAGTTGTTCCTTCTTAGGTCATTGTTACAATTCACTGGTTTGAATTAGGTTTTTGTTATTAGTGGTACACCTGCCACATCAATGCGAAGACCCAAACAACTGACCTATTTCTTGTTCCGTGTGATTTTATTTTTCCATGGGTCAGATCCCTAATAAGATTATTTAACTTTTCTTCCTCACCTTTCTAAATAAAGAAAATATCTATTACTTATATATGACCAGGTATTGCGCCCAGACACGCAACGCCACATCTTACCAAAAAGACATGAATTAGTTTGCAAAGGCAGCCATCATGTGGGATGGATGTTTGTGCATAACAATTGTAAATCTCTGGTCACTAGTGAATGCAGCAGATGATCCACACATTCCAAGATTCTGCTAAATAAATATCGATCCAATACAGGCAATGATAGGTCTACGCAGTGGATTAGTGATTGCAGAGTGTTTGTTGAGGTTTGGTATCAATCCAATTGGGATGCTTAGGTCCTAAAATCTGTAAGACATGGCGATTGTCTAGAAAATGTACAAACTCCTTCCATGCATCCACTACCTTCTCAGTAAAGTAATACTTCCAGATATTTTTAAACCTTTGCCCGTCTATTTTAAGATTACGTCCTCTTGTTGTGGTAGTTTTCTTTTAAATATAGTCTTCTCCTTCACTGTGTTGATTCCCTCAATGAGGTGTAGTCCTGAAATAACTCCACTCCTGATCACAGCCGCTAAAACGTAATGTATATTTATCCTTTTGAAAATATTAAAGGGGTCTGCTATCAGAATATACACCTACACTAGCCAAATCAGATTTATATCAGAATTTGGATATTTTGAATAAAGTACAACTCTTGGCATTCTTTATGCCTACTTATCCCAATATTCCAAACTCCACAGAAGTGTTCTTTTTTACCCACACTTGAAAGTAATTAAGCATTTTGAATACATATTAACTAGTAAAATATGTGGCAAGTTACATTGTTAACCTGGATTAGTGCAGGTTCACAGATGCATTAAAAAGAGACACTATAAGCACCCAAACCACTTAATCTGTCCCAGTTCCCCTAACCCTGCAATGTTTACATTGAGTCAATTCTTTCCTATAGGGAAGGCTTAAAGGGACACTCCAGGCAGCCCTTTTAACTCACCTGGTTCCAGCGCCGGGAGCCTCGTGAAGCTGCGCCCCCTATTTCGTCAAAATGCTCCCTGCTCGCTCCCATTTCGTCAATCAGACGCTTCCATTTGGAGGAGTCATTGCTCCCTTGTGCGCACGCGCGGTTTTGCCGCACATACTTCAGAGGGAGGCATTCATGCCACCCTCTGAAGTCCTGAGCGCACTACCGCACATGCGCGCAGTGGCGAGCTGAGCTGACTGACAGCTTGCGGTCTTTGCCCGCCCCCTCTCCTCTGCTGACAGGCAGAAGAGAGAAGGCGCGCACACAGTGCCTTCTCTCTCCTGCACACGTCAGACGTATTTTAATACGTCTGACGTGTACAAGGCCTTTTTAGGGCCCTGCATGATAGGGAGTCCCTCTGGTGGCCGTCTGATAAGAATACCTCCAGTGGCCGTCACTCAATCAATGTAAACACTGTATTTTCTCTGAAAATACAGTGTTTACATTAAATTGCCTGCAGGGAGCTATAGATCGTACCTGAACAAATACATTACGCTGTAGTTGTTCAGGTGACTATAGTGTCCCTTTAATGCACACTCGACTGGCATGCGTATCAGGTCCTCCCCACCCCCTCCCTCTATAACTATAGTGTTCCTTTTAACTCTGCAAGCACAGAGTACCTTTAATAGAGATATATACTTCTAAGAACATTTTTTAAAATATATATTTAGGCCATTTCAGTAATGAAATGAATTGTGATAAAGACATGTACCTTTAGCAAAGTCGGTTGAGGTGTGCCGATACCGACATAGATGGTAGGCCAGCAGTATGTCTGGACCAATCACGGTAATGTAGGAAATGTAATCTATTCATTGATAGAGAATCTGACCACTCGCATTTAACATTTTCCATCACACTCAGCAAGCCAATATGGTGATTGAGTTGAAGTTTAATATATAAAAAAAGGCTGTTTGAATACATCATATATCAATTAGATTTTACATGTAAAATGGTTAGTAGTCTTCCCCGGGTGGTTTTGAAGCATTGCTAGGAACAGCCACAAAAAGGATTCAATGGGAGGGTGTGGCGAAACCAACCTCGCCACTGTGCACTGGAGAAGCCTGGTTGCCAGCCTCCTGCCATCTGACTATGGCCCCCTTTTAAAAGACTTTATTTTTGCCTGCAGAAAAGCTGTATTCGTGCGGTCTGAGCGCCATTCACTTAATAATGTGCGCTCAGACCTGAGCTATCTGGGGATATGTGAAATGTCTGTGTTTTATGTATAAAAGGTGACTTTAGGTATTTTAAAGTGTTTTGTGTCTTTTTTCAACCATGTGCTTAATGGAGTCTTGTGTCTGTCCTGGGAGATAATTGAATTACTTATCTCCAGGATAGAAGACTCTGAAACTGGTTTGGGCCGGAAAGCCATGCTTCATTTAGTCACAAAGGACTTTTTACTAACTTTTGAACCCCTTGTCTGATTTGTGCCATTTTTTAATATGTTGTTCCCCTGAATGGATTGATTGTGAATGTGTAATTTTATGTGAATGTGATGTATGGTTTTAGAGTTATGAAAGTTGGGTAGAAAGTATGTTTTAACTGTATGTATAATTGAGTTTCCTCTCAGGATAAGGGGAGGGAATATGTGGGATGTAACTGTGATGTTATTGGTTGTTTTATACCTCCCTGTGGGCGGTCCTGTATTTGAAAACACTGTAATAAAAACCAGGCTGGGTGTGCCAGCACCTCAGATTCTGCTTAACCCTCAAAACGAAGTGTCGTCTCGTTATTGGGGGAATTGGATTGTGTGCTGACTGCCAGGAGTGTAAGCCGTTTGTATTGCTTTTCCTGTTCGGCTGCTTCCAGGGTTCCTGTGTCTGCTGTTCGAGAGTTGGTGAATACGTGCAGTTTGGAGTTCAGGAGGTTGGTGATTGCAGTAGCTGCTGGTCTATGGGAAAGGGGATTATCGCCTAAACCGATTTTATCCCCTTGGGAGAGAAACGGTCCGTTACAGAGGGGTCCTCAGCTATGTACCCATAGCACATGTTCTGACAGCAGATCTCTTATGAACTGTCACACAGTGTTTACCTGTCTTACTGCCCAATGCTTGCCAAAATACAATGTTGCAGAACTAAACCGCACTCAGGAAAGCAAAGTGGTGCAGGTGAGGGATACAATAAGTTACAGAAGGCAGAGTTCCATTATGCTGCATGCATATTACCAGCTACCACTGATAATGAGGTACTAACGAAGTAAACATATGTGAACCCAATTCCATTCATAAAAGTTCTTCGGTGGATTTTAATTTGAGAATTAACTCCAAGCAAATATAACAGAAGAAAACATAGCACCTAAATAAGAAAATTAGTAGGACATTGGGAGTAAAACAGATTAGCTTTATTTTATAGTGTCAAAATAGTTTAACACATTTGAGATAAAATTAACTTGTTCAGTGATTTCTACTACAGTTAGAATTACAGTGGCAGTAAGAAAAGTACATTAAAAACTATACTGAAGTAGTCATCCAAAAAAAAAAAATTTTAAAAAATTAAAATGCAATCTGCTTTTCTTCAATTAGCTCAAATCTGGACTACACATGCCAAACCTGAAACTGCATAGCCAGCTAAAGTGAATCATCTGACAACTTTCAATATTTAAAAATAGAAATTTGAAGAATTCATATAAAATTACTTCTAAAAACAAAATAAAAAAATAAAGAATGAAGAATGATTTCACATGAAAGTGCATATTTTTTGTTATACTATACAAAATAAATGGATCATGGTTAAATACTTAGTCAAGTTTGAGCTCTGTTCCAAGTGCCCCAACACAAAAAAATGGGTATAGTTTATCTGTAGTTTGCACAAAATAAAACGAATGAAGGTGCTCCATGGTGTCAGCATTATAAAATGCCACAAAATGTTCATCACAGTCCAAAAAAACACCAATCTTAACAGGGTGTATTCTAGGATTCAGAAGAATGTCAGGATTGGTGAAGGCATAATATTGGTCTGTAAACATACCAAGTAACCCGATTGCCCAGATCCCACCTCTAGGTTGTATTTTGAACACACCTTTTCTGCATACAGACTGTTTAGCAACCCCAACACTCCAATATATACCACCTCCCACATCGACCTCCCAGTAGCGTTTCCCAATTTTGTATCCTGTGAGCCCAAGCACACAAGGCTTTGAATCAAATCTATCAGGATGCGGCATTACGTTCTTTGGATATTCTTCGTATCTGACCAGCTTTCGGTTTCCAGAAACAGAAAGATTGAAATTTGCGGTTTTTTGGTCAAATGTTACAGAAACTGAGAAGAGAAAGATAAGAAGTGAAAAAAAAAAAGAAAATTAAAAGAGACAAGCATTATTGTCCTAGTAACAGCAGCTGTCATGGTGGGAATTTGGCATCTCATTATTTTAGGAAATTTATAGAATATACCATTCTATATTTAAAATGTGAACACGCTTATTAAAAAAAATGCCATGGCTAAAAATAAGTATTTTGATTATGCCCTCACCTAAATACTCTCCCAGCCCACCCTAATAAAAATGCAAATATAATTCAGCGGCAGCCACCATGCCTCCTCCAATCATCCTGGATATAAAAATTGCCACAGAAAAGTATCATCATCTATGGAACACAACAACTACATCAGGGGTGGGTAAATGGTAGATCCCCAGATATTGTAAAACTACACCTTCAATAATGCTTTGCAATTTTCAAGGATGCCAATGCAGTTGTAGTTCGACATCTGGGGATCTACCATTTTCCCATTCCTACACTACTAGGAGTGACATTTTAACATTATTTTTCTTCATCTTACTGTTATTCATCATAATTTACCAGTAAACATCTTCATATAGTCCCTTGAGGCCATCATTCTATGCAGATCTGTTTGTTCAAGAAATTGTGCACCTTCAATAGGTCTAATGGGTGGAGAGGGGGAAATAAAAACCACACTTATTTTTACCTTTTTTTTGAAGAGCGAAAGTGCACACACACAGAATATTTACATATATTACACATGCACACTTTAAAGAAGATTGTTTAAAAAAAAAAAAAATACAAAAAAAAAATACAAACAAACCCACAACAACTTTGTTAGAGCAACAACGTTCGTTATACTTTGGTTTTTACTGCTTACCCTTCTACCTCCCACTGTGTCATTGAAGAGGTATGGACTCATCCATGATGGTTTAATTCAAAGCTACTGGAAGAGTACTGGTGCCCTAATTTGCATGCACATTCAAGCTATCCCCTAGAAAAATGTTTAATACAATGTATTCCTATGGATTTCCTAGCTTGTCAGTGGAAGGGTCTCTAGTGGTTGATTTAATCCTGCAATTAAAAAAAATATATATATATAAAAAAAACAAAAAACAAAAAGAAACCTGCAACATTTAACGTTGCTGGGTTATAAAGGAGAGGGTCACTGTGCTCAAGCAAGTTAATTATGATAAAGTGGTCTTTGTGACTATACTTTTACATATTGTGGAAACGTACATACACACCTATCCAAAGATTTTTTTATTTTTTTTATATTTTCCTGGACATAGGACACTTATCAGTGGTAGGTTACCATCCAGCCATATATCATTAATATAGGAGTTTGGCATGGATACATCCATAGGGTGTTTGTAAAATAATTTGGGAAACATGAGTTATGTCTATAATAAATAGAGACTGGAGCCTAACTTTGTAGACTCGTACCATATTGTTCTACATTGTGGGTGCAATGCTGAAATTTCTCATTTGTAGACAAAATTTTATTTCTCCTCAACACTATTCAATTTATAGGAAGATACCTGTTTGTTAAAATGAAATAGTTACCTCATCACAGCACCATTTGAATCCTGTTTTGACTGAAAGTGGAGAGAAGATGGAGAGGAAAAAAAAAAAAACGTTAATTGACCAATCAACTGCAAAGAGCGGTTTATCCACAATCCAACCAGTCCTCAACAGTGAGAGAATCTATAGATCACTGATCAACAAGAAGCCTTCATTTCGCTTTTAGCTTTAGTACTGGCTTTATTAGATTTAGAGCGTGAATCTCAAACTCTGCTACCCAGACATTAATGGCCTACGATACCCAGAATTCATTGAATACAATAAATTGCCAGATAATCATTGGTGTTCTAGTTTGGCAACATCAGGGGGATCAAAGTTTAAGTTGCCTGGTTTAGGGAATTCAATAGGACAAGGAGCATCACTTAACCTACTCACAATTTCACCTTCATTGCTGAATTTGACAACATGTCACTTGTCAACTTGACCAAAATGTATACCAGAAAGATGAAAACAAGAATAGGGTTATTCACAAATATGTTAATAAAAAGGTTATAGAGTTGGAAGTATAGCAAACATAAGTAGTTTTGAATTTGGCTATTGAAATAATAAGACTAGGTCTTGTACATTGCACGTACGTGCATGTCATATACGTAGTTTTGCACATAACCATTCTTGTCCCCCCTCTTCTAAGATGACACTACCTTATTGTAAGAAGTCCCCACCTAGATAAGTTTCGATTATTTGTTACATGCTTGCACAAGCTGTAAATTCTGTTAGTTAATAGTCGATTGGTAGTTGATGATACTCCCCTTTATGGTTTTTTTGTTATAAAACCTATGTCCTGTTTAATAAAGTTCAGACATTTTCCTGAACTCACTTGCTTGTAAGTCTATCAAGAGTTTCCTTAAGTACTTGAGTCATGGCATGGTCTGGATAGAACGAGAAGTCCATGGCAGAGGTTTTGTTACCACTGAGGAGTATGTTCCAAAATCTATTATGAATCAAAATTTCCAGTTCCCAGATTAGTGAACACCCCAGGAAATATGCAGTTTTCTATCACTATTAGACGTGATCCTTCTTCTGAGCCAAAGTTGCCATTTTAACTAGCTTTAAGAGCTCAGTTGACAAGTATTTTACTGAATAAATTCATATAGTATTTGAAATTTTGTATTGTTAACAAAAGTAATTTCCTTTTTAATGTATTCTAAACTATGAATAAAAGGCTTGAATAAGGGGGTGGGTGGGCTAGCATTGTATAAACAGACATTTCGGAGATTGCAGTTACCTCACCTCTGGGATTTGAGAAACAGTGGGAACTCTATTTTTCTCAAGATCTGCAATCAGCTTCTGGAGTGTAGAAAGCTTCCCATCCAATTTACTTATGGTCTCATCTCTTTTCTGTATAATTGTTTTCTCCATCTTTTCCAGACGGTCATTGAGTACTCGCTCATTGTCTGCCAGAAGTTGACGGAGGCTTTCAAATTCGCAAGCCAACATTTTACGCTTGTGGCCCACATCATCCTGAGGTGGAATAAACATAAATTTGAAAGAAAACAGAATATATATTTGTGATTTTCACAGTGAGAATCGCCTCTAGTGGCTGTCAGGGAGACAGCCACTAGAGGCTGGCTTAACCCTCAGTGTAACATAGCAGTTTCTCTGAAACTGCTATGTTTTCAGCTGCAGGGTTAAAACTAGCTGAAGTGAAGTGGTCTGGGTGCCTAAAGTGGACCTTTAAATTTAATTGTTTTCTCACTTCACAAATACATACCTGTTTGACATAGGGATTATTAATTATGATAGTAAAACTCCTAGGAAGTAACAGGAACTAATCACAGGGGGCCCAGTCTCGCTGTTAAAGCGCAGCAGCGCTGACCGGGCCCCTGGAAATACATAGCATCGGGTGGCCCTAACAGCTCACCTGCCAACATGAACTGTTCACTTTAGAAGTTTGCACTTCCTGCTCTGCTCATTGAACTTTTAAAAAATCCCTTAAAAGAGCAGGAGATATGGAATTCTAATTTAAATACAATGTGCAATAAAAGGAAGTCTAAAGTTAATTCTCATTACAGGAAATCTATAGGTCAAATGTACTGAAGGTCTGCATAAACAAAAGTGATTTAACTCCTAAGTAGCAGAGAATTGAGCAGTAAGACTGTAGGAGCATGATCTATACACCAAAACAGTCTAAAGCAAAAGCTGATGCTTACAGTGTTTCTCTAAGGAAAAACTTCACATCAGTTCAAGCTTCAAAAATTCTTCATGCCTGCCCTTTTCAAGTTATAAGAAGAGAGTATTCCGTGTTAAGATTTTTTTTTTTTTTTTTTTTAAAGAAAACAAAAGTCAACATAAGAATCAAAACCAATCTGGCTTTTATTACCAAGAAATATAAAACCATGCTATCTGATACTTATTTCACAATAGTATGGGATGTGCTGAAAAAAAGTGTGTGCGCTATATATTTATATTATTTTTTTTATTTTATTTTATTTTGGGAAGGAGAAACAAACCAGCATTAGGGTCTGATTTGTTCCTATACATCATTGTCTACAAGTGGTCTAGTTCATTGTTGGTAACCAGTAAACCAATAAAATTATTCTTGCAACCTGCAGATTTTCTGGAAGGAAAATGGTCAGATCTATCTCATCTGCATTATGACTAAGTTTGCATTTCCAAAGTAGCTTTCTAGTTTGCAAACAGACCTACAGTGTTACACTCACTTTCTGGGGGGGGGGGAAAGTGGAGGATAGCCAACCATACATGACTTGCACTACAGGACACTATTGGTATTGTTGCAAGAGTATTCACCACCATGTATGGTATTTTTTCAAGTCTTTTAACTGACTACATTCAGCCCTTGCAGAGGTTATACTATGTATCAATAATGCACACTTTTCTGTTGGAAAGGAGAAGCTAGGTTAACCTGCATCATTTTATTTTACATAAGGTCAAGTTCCAGAAGTTTTGTTATACAGTGAAGTAATAGACAGGATTGGCACTCACCTGAAGCTTTTGAGATTTTTCCTGTTCTTCACATTTTCTTTGAGTAAGATCAGCAAACTCCATTTTTAATGTTTGAATTTTCTCTTTAAGATTTCCCTAAAAATAAAATAAAATAAAAAAAATAAAATAAAATTAACGTGACTTTTTCCCCATCAAAAATCTTAGCAAATATAGTTGCCAAAGGCCAGGGATTTGGAATTCCTATCGCCCCATTGCAAGGTATTTGACATATTTTTTTAAACTTGATAGCAATGCCGCTAATACCGTATATTCTCGAGTATAAGCCGACCTGAATATAAGCCGAGGCCCCTAATTTTACCACAAAAAAAATGGGAAAACTTATTGACTCGAGTATAAGCCTAGGGTGGGAAATGCAGCATCTACTGGTAAATTTGTAAATAAAATTAGATCCCAATAAAATTACATTAATTGAATATTTATTTACAGTGTGTGTATAGAATGAATGCAGAGTGTGTGTTTGTGTGTATATATAATGAATGCAGAGTGTGTGTTTGTGTGTATATACAATGAGTGCAGTGTGTGCATATACAATGAATGCAGTGTGTGCGTTTGTGTGTTGTGTGTGTATATAATGAATGCAGTGTGTATATAATACAGTGTGTGTAAACTGGGTGAGGGGAGGGCATTTTAATTTTTTTATTATATTATTTTAATAATATTTATTATATTATTTTAATATTTGCATTATTTTTTTTTTTTAAATGGCTTTTTGTCCCCCCCCTCCCTGCTTGTTGCCTGGCCAGGGAGGTGGGACAAAAAATTTTTTTTTTTAAATAATGCAAATATTAAAATCATAATAATATATTGTTATTAAAATATTAATATTAATATATTAATATTTGCATTATTTTTTTTTAAATGTCCCTGCTTGTTGCCTGGCCAGGGAGAGGGAACAAAAAAACATTTAAAATAAAATAATGCAAATATTAAAATAATAATAATAATAAAATAATGTTATTTTAATATTATATTATTTTAATAATATTATTATTAAAATAAAATATTAAAATAATATCAAATCCCTGGTGGTCCAGTGGCATTGGCAGTTCAGTGGAGGGGCTGGCAGGGAGCTCTTACTTACCTTCCTGCAGCTCCTGTCAGCTCCCTCCTCCTCCGTGCAGCTCCTCGGACAGCTCCGTTCTGTTTACAGTGTAAATCTCACGAGACCCGCGGCTCTCGCGAGACTTACACTGTGAGCAGAACGGAGCTGACCGAGGAGCTGCACGGAGGAGGAGGGAGCTGACAGGAGCTGCAGGAAGGTAAGTAGGAGCTCCCTGCCAGCCCCCAACAGGACCGCCGGGCTTGTAATGAGCCCGGCGGTCCTGGTCTGTATTATGGCAAAGTAAGTTGCCATAATACAGACTGACTCTAGTATAAGCCGAGTTGGGGTTTTTCAGCACAAAAAAAAATGTGCTGAAAAACTCTGCTTACACTCGAGTATATACGGTAAGTATATTGCATCTTCAATTTGCATGTGTGGGATTGTAAACGCCGCAATCATATTTTCCACAGCAGATATGCAAAAATCTCTGGTATTTGCAGCCAAGGAAGCGCTATGATTTCTGCATGGACCTGCATTTACCATAATGAAAGTGCAGATGGACAGGTCAACCAATGCAAAGTCATAGCCCAAACGCAGTTACATTTATATACATTTATATAGATATATTTATAAATAAAAAATAAAAAAAAAACACACACAATGTATGCAAAGGAGCTTTTACACTTCTTACACATCCCTGATTTTAAACAGACACAGCTTCTGCATACAAATACACCCCTGTATTTAAAACGCACCTTTTCCCTTTGTGTATAAGGACACAAACAAGGTTATTTGCTCAAGCGAGATTTCAAAGTCAATTTTAAATTTAAGGCCTTACCGACAATTTCCCCGCCCCCAATTCAGCAACTTTGAATTCTTGTCTATAGGTAGAATCTGGGTCCATTTGGGTAGCGCCCTTCAACCCCAGACTTGGGTTAAGAAGAGCAAGTATCACCTCAAAGCCCGAAGTCAAAAAAGGAAGTCACCGGGTTGTACTGGTACACAGGGGGTAACCCTAATAGAAATTATAAAGACAAAAAAAAAAAAAAAAGAAAAAAAGAAAATACTAATTCACCAACACAAATGCCCAAATGGGTATTTTGCCAGGAAAAAGACATACAACCCTGTAGGAATGTGCTTGATGACTAAAAAAGATATTTACAGCATAATTTATTAATAAAGCTAAAACACTCTCCTACCTAATAAGTACTCAAGTGGGGTGGGTATAAATGCCCATATCAAAGCTAAAGGTAACTATCAGGGATAATCCAAAAAGGAAAACTATGATCGAGGTATAATGCCTAGTCTGAGTAGGTAAAGAGGGTGTCAAAAAAAAAGACACATACTAGGTATCTGGCAGGTATAAAAGCACTCCATAACCATAGGTAATCTAAAGACCTCTCTATCCATTACTACATACTGACCACTAAGTGCTACCTTAGAGGAATCCCTGTTACCTCAGCATAGCATAAAGCTAATGCCTACCAACACTGCTGGTCCTATAGAGGGACTAAATAAACGAACAAGTGCTACTAACACCCACAACCCAAGTGCATGGTGAGAAGATTAAAATAAAAAAGGAAAAGGCCCGATGCGCGTTTCGGCGTATCAAGACGCCGTCATCAGGGGCAAATACAAGCGCTACCCGCATCTCCCGCTTCCTTAAATGTCCAATGTGTGATTAAACAATGTTAACAGCTGATTCCCATAATAGGTACTCGCATACCGTTGGTCCGGACGAGACTCCGCCCACCTGCCATACGGTAGCGTCCAATGCAGCTCGAACCACTTCCGCATAACCCACGTGACTGCTACATCATCGCTAGGTCACGTGGGCGGGGAGGGGAAAGGGCGGAAATCACCCGCTGTTGCTAAACCTCCATCACTGACGGCCCTAGTGAGTCACAAAGACGTCACTAAGTGGGCGGGATTACGACAATCCATGAGTCCAGTGCAAAGGAGGTGTAGCATCACTGGAGTTATCTATGGAGATGTCCATGTAGCTTAATAATCCCTAAATAATAAGCACTAAACAAAAAACTAATTAATAATAGCTTCAAAATAATAATTAAATAATAATCATAATTAACATTTAAAAAAAAAAAAAACCACAGTTACTAAATAGTGATCATTAGTTAAATAAAAGGGGTATACGAAAACCCCTCATTAAGACCGTGTGGCGATAAAGTTTGAAGTTTAAAGATCCAATAAGCCTCCCTCTGGCGGAGTTTAGTGTCCCAACCGCCTTTCCGTGGGGGCTGAGGAATGTGTTCTAACCCCATAAAGCGTATTCCCGCTGAGGAGTGATTATGACAAAGATGTAGATGTCTCGATATGGGGGTTTCCAGACGTCTCCTCACCGAATTTACATGTTCCCTAATTCTACATTTAAAGGGACGAAAGGTCTTCCCCACATACATAAGACCACATGAACAGGTAAGTAGATAGATAACCCCAGCAGTGCGGCAATTGATGAAAGAACGAGGGTTAAATGTCACTGAGTTGGAACTATTGACGCAAACTTTAGAATTCTTATTAATGTAGGGACAGGCACTACAATGGCCACATTGATATGTGCCAATAGGTAAGTAGTTCTTAAAAGGTCCTGGTGTTGACAACGAGGAAAGATGAGTAGGGACGAGTAGATCCCTTAAGTTCCTACCTCTACGTGCTGTGATAGAGGGGTATGTTGTCACTACATCCTTAAGATGTTTATCCGAGGATATGATAGGCCAATATTTCTTAAAGATTCCCATCATCTTCGCCCAACCCGCATCAAAGGTTCCTATGCATCTTATCGTATACCCCTCCTGTTTAGCAGTATTGTCATCAATAAGAATTTGCCGTTCAGTTGAGAGGGCCCTAACGTATGCTCTCTTCAGCATCCTATTGGGATACCCTTTTTCCCTAAATGACAGTCTCAAGGTTCTCGCTTTGGACTTAAAATCATCTAGGGACGAGCAGTTACGTCGTAACCTAAGGTACTGGCCAATGGGGATTCCAGCTTTTAATGAAGTGGGATGGTGACTAGACCAGTCCAAAAGACTGTTTGTAGCTTTCTTTTTCCTAAAGAGGGTGGTTTATACTTTATTCGCTTCCCCTATTTCAGAAGAAACGTCCAAAAAGCATAACTTAGAGCCCCCCATCTTACTTGTGAACCGCAGATTATAGGTATTGGCGTTAAGGGCTTCAACAAAGTCCCCAAAATTCTCAGAGGTACCCAGCCAGACGACAAAAATGTCATCAATGTACCTCTACCAGTATAGGACTTGGTCCATATACTGTTTAAGATTGGGGTCTTCCCTGATTGTTCTCTCCCACCAGCCCAGATGTAGATTTGTATATGATGGTGCACATGGTGTCCCCATGGCTGTTCCCCTCATCTGCTGGTACAATTTCCCATTAAAGAGAAATATATTGTGTGTCAAAACAAATTTGAACAGATCTGATATAAACTCAATATACACCTCAGGTAATTTGGGATTAAGTGAGAGAAACATTCTACAGTGTTCAATTCCAAGCTCATGAGGAATTGATCTATACAATGCCTCTACATCTAGGCTACATAATTTGGCATAATTGGGAATTTCAGTCTGGGTTAGGAACCCAAGTAACTGTTTTGTATCCCTGAGGTGTGAGGGTAACCCTTGTACCATAGGGGATAAAATCTTATCAAAGGAATACACTTATATTCTGGGTAAGATTACCGCAACCAGATACTATTGGTCTACCTGTTAAGTCAGACATAGACTTATGTATCTTAGGTAAGCAGTAGAAGGTTGACAGAACAGGTTCTTTAGGGTTCATAAACTCAAATTCATCTTTTGAGATGAGTTCTGTGTCAACAGCTCCAGTCAATAGGGTGCGTAATTCAACCAAGAAAAGTGGGGTTGGATCCTTTTTAATCACACAGTACGTATTTTCATCCAAGAGGAAGAGGTACATTGACAACATTTTTGTCGTCTGGCTGGGTACCTCTGAGAATTTTGGGGACTTTGTTGAAGCCCTTAACGTCAATACCTATAATCTGCGGTACACAAGTGAGATGGGGGGCTCTAAGTTATGCTTTTTGGACGTTTCTCTTGAAATAGGGGAAGAGAATAAAGTATATACCACCCTCTTTAGGAAAAAGACAGCTACAAACAGTCTTTTGGACTGGTCTAGTCACCATCCCACTTCATTAAAAGCTGGAATCCCCATTGGCCAGTACCTTAGGTTATGACGTAACTGCTCGTCCCTAGATGATTTTAAGTCCAAAGCGAGAACCTTGAGACTGTCATTTAGGGAAAAAGGGTATCCCAATAGGGTGCTGAAGAGAGCATACGTGAGGGCCCTCTTAACTGAACCGCAAATTCTTATTGATGACAATATTGCTAAACAGGAGGGGTATACGATAAGATGCATAGGAACCTTTGATGCGGGTTGGGCGAAGATGATGGGAATCTTTAAGAAATATTGGCCTATCATATCCTCGGATAAATATCTTAAGGATGTAGTGACAACATACCCCTCTATCACAGCACGTAGAGGTAGGAACTTAAGGGATCTACTCGTCCCTAGTCATCTTTCCTCGTTGTCAACACCAGGACCTTTTAAGAACTACTTACCTATTGGTACATATCAATGTGGCCATTGTAGTACCTGTCCCTACATTAATAAGAATTCTAAAGTTTGCGTCAATAGTTCCAATTCAGAGACATTTAACCCTCGTTCTTTCATCAATTGCCGCACTGCTGGGGTTATCTATCTACTTACCTGTTCATGTGGTCCCTTTAAATGTAGAATTAGGGAACATGTAAATTCGGTGAGGAGACGTCTGGAAACCCCCATATCGAGACATCTACATCTTTGTCATAATCACTCCTCAGCGGGAATACGCTTTATGAGGTTAGAACACATTCCTCAGCCCCCACGGAAAAGCGGTTGGGACACTAAACTCCGCCAGAGGGAGGCTTATCGCCTCCACGGTCTTAATGAGGGGTTTTCGTATACCCCTTTTATTTAACTAATGATCACTATTTAGTAACTGTTTTTTTTTTTAAATGTTAATTATGATTATTATTATTTAATTATTTTGAAGCTATTAATTTGTTTTTTGTTTAGTGCTTATTATTTAGGGATTATTAAGCTACATGGACATCTCCATAGATAACTCCAGTGATGCTACACCTCCTTTGCACTGGACTCATGGATTGTCGTAATCCCGCCCACTTAGTGACGTCTTTGTGACTCACTAGGGCCGTCAGTGATGGAGGTTTAGCAACAGCGGGTGATTTCCGCCCTTTCCCCTCCCCGCCCACGTGACCTAGCGATGATGTAGCAGTCACGTGGGTTATGCGGAAGTGGTTCGGGCTGCATTGGACGCTACCGTATGGCAGGTGGGCGGAGTCTCGTCCGGACCAACGGTATGCGAGTACCTATTATGGGAATCAGCTGTTAACATTGTTTAATCACACATTGGACATTTAAGGAAGCGGGAGATGCGGGTAGCGCTTGTATTTGCCCCTGATGACGGCGTCTTGATACGCCGAAATGCGCGTCGGCCTTTTCCTTTTTTATTTTAATCTTCTCACCATGCACTTGGGTTGTGGGTGTTAGTAGCACTTGTTCGTTTATTTAGTCCCTCTATAGGACTAGCAGTGTTGGTAGGCATTAGCTTTATGCTATGCTGAGGTAACAGGGATTCCTCTAAGGTAGCACTTAGTGGTCAGTATGTAGTAATGGATAGAGAGGTCTTTAGATTACCTATGGTTATGGAGTGCTTTTATACCTGCCAGATACCTAGTATGTGTCTTTTTTTTTTAAATTCTTTATTTTTTGTGTGCAAGATTTCACAATTACGCCGTGGTGCCACAATAGCATTCACGTGCTCATTTTCAACATTACAGGTCACATATGGCACTATAAGGTCTGCACAATTTTTATAGTGATAGTGGAAAGGTAGTTAAGCATATAGTGCTCCCGCCATATTTCCCTCTAGCATTTTCAATTTAATCAGTTGGAGCATAAAGATAGGCATAGTTTAGGATTACGTTTTGTTTGACATATTTTTCACGACATATAGTTAAAGATATACAGGTGATAATCCACTGAGTGTGTGATCTCTAGTGTGTCATTTGGACTAAGTAGTTTAACTCTGGCTTGGTTTACCTCGGGCGCCACCCTGGAGTGTGTGGGGTTTGTTTGCCTTCGCTCCCCTGGACGGGTCTGGGGTCTGTTTGAGTAATATCGAGGAGTTTGTCACGGCTTGTGTGCATTGTTGTTGTCTGGGGTAGTGTGTGTCTGCCTTAATTGGTGTCCAGTGTTGCGTGTATGTGTTACTCTGCCTGCTGTGTGTGCGCTGGTTTTTTGCTGTGCGAGTCCTAGCATGTGTGTGTCTGTGGGTACCGACAGTGTCAGTGCGTGCAGGGCTAGAGCAGCGTTTTAGTGTCCATTTTATAGTCCAGGAACAGCGTCCATCGTTAGCCGGTGCTTAGTCTTGGTAGTGGGTTTGTAGGGCCGCAAGGGACCCAGTAGCAGAGTCCAGTTGCACGTTTCTTGGAATCTTGGGCACTCCTGGGGGCCTGCTTCTGCGGCTCGTGGTGGAAGTGCTTCCTTTGATGGCCGCGGTCCTCCCCGTGAAGGGGCTGTTGTAGATCTTGATGTGGGGTGTCCCCCTGTGTTGTCGGGTCCGCAGTTTCTTAGGTTGATGTTTATGGTTGTGGCTGGTGCTTCTGGGCGGCTGCAATCTGAGGGGGCTCGTGAGGTAAGGTTCGTGCACTACGGGCGCCCGGGGAGGTTTACCTCGTTTCCCACCCTCGGTTTTGTGGCCTGCGAGCACTTGCCGATGTTTGTTGCCGCTTAGGGTAGGGTGCTGGCCCTTCATGGGGGCTTGTGTGGTCTGCCAACCGACTCTGCTTTCTGGTGGGCCCTGCAGTACTTGATGGGTCTTTGTTTGTCCACGTGGATGCGGGCTGTCCGCCATTTTGGAGAGCTCCGTCTGGGTTGTGCTTTGCGGCCCGGTTTGTATTTGGGCTCGGCAGACTTCCTTGGTGGTCGCCCGTGGGGACCGGGATAACCCCCACCGGTCCAAAGGGGGGGGGGCGCAGGACGCCATTCGGAGACCCGGGGAAGCTGCCGTTCCTCCCCGGCTCAAGCTCGCATAGGCCCCAGGCCTTGGTCGGGTTACTTCGGTGCCGTACCGTAGCATGTGTGGTATCACTGTGTGTCCATGTCTTGTGAGCAGTTTGGTTGCCGTTTTTGGTCGATAGCTGCTCGTGGCACAGAGTTGGCTCCGATTCTCTGGCCCAGATCCTGGAGCTCAGACGAAACACGTCTGATCTGTTCAGCGTTCAGGCTCCGCCCCTATGATGTGTCTTTTTTTGACACCCTCTTTACCTACTCAGACTAGGCATTATACCTCGATCATAGTTTTCCTTTTTGGATTATCCCTGATAGTTACCTTTAGCTTTGATATGGGCATTTATACCCACCTCACTTGAGTACCTATTAGGTAGGAGAGTGTTTTAGCTTTATTAATAAATTATGCTGTAAATATCTTTTTTAGTCATCAAGCACATTCCTACAGGGTTGTATGTCTTTTTCCTGGCACAATACCCATTTGGGCATTTGTGTTGGTGAATTAGTATTTTTTTTTTTGTTTGTCTTTACAACTTTGAATTCTTACTTTCGTAAATAACCCTGACAGTACATTATCAAGAGTAACAAGTAGGCTACTGCCCTTACTAAATAAGAATTTGACAATTGACAAGGGAGCTTCTTCTGTTTCACACACAAAATAAATAAGGAAATATTCATGTTGGAAAAATTCTCTAATGTTTTCCTACATTGATCAAATCTGACATTTGCAATAACTTATAAATTTAATATTTTTATTAATTTTATCACAAAGTATATAAAACTCAATTTACATAAAATATTCTTTACAATAATTTTACTTTGGCACATATTACAAAAATACAAAGACAAACACCAAAGATGACAAACAACCTATCAATTCACATTGTATGAGTATTCTATAATGACCCAGTATGGATTATAACCTATACCCTTTATCAGTCTCCACAAATTGTCCTCTTCCAAATTCTTACCCTGATTTCCCCTTTTATCCTATATTAATCGCAGTCACCAACTCCTCACCTTAGTCGCCATTTAACCCCAAATTGTGGGAGACCATATGAAATATGCCCATCTTCTATACTAAAGATGGGAACACTATATAAAAAAAGTGAGGAGGTATAAGAAGAAACATGTGAGGAATAACTATGGAAAAGAGAGCAACCCCCTTAGATCCCAAAAATACCCATACTACACAGCCACACGCATACCACATATATTGTTCCGGGATTCCATGGGGAGGTGAGCCGACGAGGAGAAATAACTATGAAGGATTTTGTCCAAGAGTCAAACAATAATCATCCCACAGAGCCCATCTATACTTCAGAACTATATAAGCGCCTGAATGTCCATCCTCTCTTTCTAGTGTCCTATTTCTTTGCATTACCCTTTCCACTTCTGACCACTTTGGCAACCTTCCTCCTTTCCAATTTACAGAAAGCAACCATTTTGCTATGGATAAAATATGAAACAGGAAAGATTTTAATTCTTTTGAGCGGTAACTAGGTAGAAAGTGAAACAGAGCCAATTCTGGAGTTAATTTGATCTTTTTGCCTACAATTCAAGATAATCCAAGTTTAACCTCCTTCCAATACATTTGAATATAGGGACAAGACCACCACATATGTGTTGCTGAGCCAACTTAAATACAGCCTCTCCAGCAAAATTTATATGTATCCTCTTTCTTTATTTTCCAAAGCTTAAGTGGCGTTATATACCATTTAAAATACATCTCCCTATAAGAAACATATTTAATTAAATTTGTCCATTGAAGCAAAAGCTCCCGACCACATTTCCATGGGCCAGGATTGATTAAGTTCTTCCCAAATTCTTATATTTAAAAATTTGGTACCCAAATCCCTATCTCTCAAAAGACAAACATTTTGATAGAAAGTGCAAGGAATTCATTGTTTACATATAAATCCCTTAAATGTCTGCATCCCAATTTCAATAGTATCTCAAGCAGAGGAAAGTGAATCTTTTCCTGCAGCCATGAGACAGGAATGATCGGGCTAGGAAATAGAACCAGAGAATATTTAGAATTCAACGTCAACAACTTTTAAGACTGTACCATATTATCGAGGCTTTACTATGCACTATGCCACTGGATAAATCATCTTGAAAAAGGATTGAGTTCAAGTGCGTTTGTTTAAGAAAAAAAAAGCTTTGATCGATACCCAATTATTTTTTTCCTCTTCCTCCCATCTCTGCATATGTGCCAAGAGGGAGGCTTCCTGATATTTCTTAATGTCGGGATACGCTATCCCTCCACTAGAGAATTTTTTAACCATAATTGGTATCTTAATTCTCATTCTTTTATTCTGGTGGATAAATACATCAATCGCCCTCTGTAATTTTTTAAGCAAATAGATGGGAGGGAAGATCTGCCAGGGTGTGCAGCGCATAACATAAGTAATCTTAGGTAATATTGTCATCTTAACCCCTGCTATTCTACCTGACCAAGATATATTAAGGTTTTTTCCATGTGGCCAGAACTTGCATTATATTAGAATAAACGGATTGAAAATTCACTGTCATTTGTCTTTTCATTTCAGCAAACAGTTTTATTCCTAAATGGGTTATTGAGTGTTGCCAATTGAATGGATTAAATGGACTTAAGAAGTTTTTCTTAGACCGTCCCATATTAAAAGTGACGGCTTCAGATTTCTTTACATTTAATTTATAATTGGATATTTCACTATACTCTGTTATAATATCTTGAAGAGCTTTTAAAGATTTTTACGGTTTTCCTATTGTTATTATTACATCATCATCATCCGCATATAGGGAGATTACATGTGACTTTTGATTTACTTCAATTCCTGTTATATCTAAAGATTGCCTTATTGCTGTCGCCAGTGGTTCAATAATTAAAGCAAAAACTAATGGAAAGGGCAACCTTGCCTAGTGCCATTTAAAATGACAAACCTTTCTGACCAAAACTTTTCACCGATTACACTAGCGCTCGGAGATGTATACAAAGCGGCAATTGTCTTAGAGGCAAAATCACCTAAGCCATATTTTGACAGGGTGAGGAACATAAAGTCGCAATCCACCCTGTCAAATGCTTTCTCCGCATCGAGTCCCACAAAAACTGCTATTTTTTATATTTAACCACTGAAGTTATATTTAACAGTTTTCTGATATTATCGGAACCCAACCTCCTCTGAATAAAACCAGTTTGATCAGAATTTATCAACTTATGGATATATTGATTCAATCTTTGCGCTAAAATGTTAGCGTAAATCTTTATATCAACGTTAAGCAGAGATATAGGTCTAAAATCACTGCATTCAGGGGTTAATTTGTTTTGGGGATTGTGATTATTTGTGCTTCCAACAACTCTGGTTGAGCTCGGTCAGCATTTAATGTTTGGCACATTTGCAATAACTTAATGCTTCTAATTTTCAAATTTACCAAATGGTAAACATCTAACATATTATCAACCATTTAATTACAGTTACATTTATATAAAGATTGAACTTGTCTCACCTTCTGTGTGCTGGAACAGCCTCTTTGACAAAAGCATAGCTTTGGGTTTTAGACTAACAACTAGTTAGAGAGAAGTCAGCATAAATAGAAAGGGGCAGTGGGTAAACAGGCTCAGCCCACATCAAAGTACTACTTGGGGAAAAATGCATATTTTATTAAAGACACGGAGGCTCCTATTATGCATTCTCTTTCTTTATTATACTCCCAGCAGCAAGAAAAGGGAAGTATGAGAGAATCATAGAAAAAAGAAACCATAACAATAGCCTGGTAACAGTAGCACCAATCAGCATACAGTATAATCCATATAGGTGTAGTGTTCCTTGACTCCTCTTTCTTGCTGCTCCCTCAGACAAGTTAAGTACCTCATCTTGCTACTCCTGTGATATTTTTATACATTTATTTGTATTTAATTCCTACACATTAATTGGATGTTCATTAGATTGTGAATTATTATATATTATTGTCATAGTATTATGTTATTATTACTGTCTTCTGTGGTGTATACCCTTCTGGTGTCAAGAGAGTGCTTCCTATCTGCTATCAGGGGAGTGATCCCTCCCTGCCCTCACCTAAATTGTTTTTCCCTGTTTGGTGACTGGGGCTATTCATCTGGCTTCTGGTGCTTGACTTTGCACCTCCGGTTTATGCCCACTGTCTTCCCGTGGTTTTGCGGGCGGCCGCGAATGCGCGGCCATTGAATTTCGTTTTCCCCTTGCGGTCCGGTTGCGTATGCGCAGTTGGTAGCGCAGCGGCCATCTTTTTGGTTTATGTCGCCGGGAGTGTAACTTACACTCGCAGCGGCCATTTTAAACGTGGTTTCGGCGGGAATCTGCGGCGTACAAGCTTCCACTCATACCGGCTTCTCCTACCCGCCCAAGCACTCTCCTAAGACCCAGACTGGGATATTATTGCAGGTTGTTTTTTCTTGTACTTATTTCTACCAAACTAAGTGTGGTGTGGAGGATTAATCTATCCTGACACCCTTTTTTTTTTTCTGATTTCCCTCAAGCTAGTTTTCCTTTCCAGGCTACAACACTCTGCTATTAGTATTGCTAGGTACCAAGTGTATAGTTGATTTACTGGGCCCAATATTTTCCACTAGTTGAACTAGGGTATATATATTCCCTATAAAGATTTTATCTGCTATGCAGGATCAGAGTGACAGCCCTTCAGGGTCTATGTGCCCCACACCAGGCGTTTCCCCCCCTAACAAGGGAGGTACAGGTGACGCCAGCCTCATGGCATCGGAGGAGTTTCAATCCCTCCTGGACGCTACCATGACACAATCCATTAACAGAGCTTTAACCTCTGCGATGCGGGTCATGTGGTCCTCTATCACTCAGTCTTTAACAGAGGCATTGATACAGACACAGACTAGCAGCATGCAGAACACACGCAACCCGGTACCCACTAACATGGCACAACCGGGACGTAAGGCGTTGGCAAAGGGCAGACATGTGACCTCCCCTCCAGAACTGCAGGTTCAGCCTGCATCGAATGACATGCCTCAGGCTGTCAAAGATGGCGCGATACCACAGCGCACTAGAGCCCCTGGCCGGGCAAAAATCGACCAGAACTTGGAAACGGGCACGTGCCCATGGGGATTCGTCCGATTCGGACCGGAGTGTGGAGAAGGAGTATGAGGACTCCTATATGGACCACTACAGCGCGGAATTTTCAGATTCCGGGTCTGACACCCAACCAGGCGTTACTACCCAAAAAGATACGGCTCAGGGCGCTGCGCCTCCTGACTCTGGCGAGGGCGACCATTTGCGGGACCCACTGGGTAACCCGTTATTTGACCCAGATGACCTCCGTCATCCTCGCTCGGCAGCATGGGAGCCGCCTACTCACATCGCTAAGTATCTCACACTTCAGGTGCGAAAGCCTTTATCTAAGGAAGGGCGCAATAAGTTACGGGCAGAATGCCCACGACCCATCCTTCCAGACTCTGTGGAAAAGACACCGGACGTGGACCCTCAGTTGGTCCAATTCTTGAACAAGTCTGGTTGGAAACCAAGGAAGGGATTAGGTTTTTCCCTCCGAAATTGCCAAGACAAATTCCTTGATACGTTGGGACCCATAACTAAACTATATGAGCTAGTGGAGTCCGCCCAATCGGGCGAAAGCGAATTTGATTTCGAAGTAGCGATAGGCTGGTTGCAGAGATTAGTCTACATGGTAGGTAACGCGAATACGGCTATGGCTACCGAACGACGCGAGGCGATTCTCCTAAAAATAGAGCCCAAACTGGCCAGCATGGCGACCAACGAGCCGGGCCCAGCGGCTAAAGGCTTACTATTTGGTGAATCCTTTATTAAGGATCTTGGGCTGTATGTTAAGACGTTTACAACAATTGATAAAGCTCAGACATCTCTTAAGAGAGTATTTGCACCACGGGTTTTTGGAGGGGCCGGCAGAGGAAGGAGCAGTCTACCCGGCCGTGGATTTCGAGGCTCAACTAGAGCCGGCAGAGGCTCCTTTAATAACCAGAGAGACACTATACCCCTTTCTTCCCATCTCGGGGACGGCCCTGGAATTCCCGTGGACCACGGGGGGTCTGTTTCAAGCAGACGACCTTATGGTGAGTACCGAATATCTCAGTTTTTCCCACGTAAAAGTGGGGGGCAGACTGGCATTGTTTCATCATGCTTGGAAAATTTTAACCGCAGATGTTTGGGTATTAAATACGATACAAGGGTACCTATTGGAGTTAACCTCCCACCCGGTTCAGATGCAGTTCCCTCGAGAACTAAATATGGCCAGCCAACACCAGATGATGATCTCAGAGATCGCAGAGTTAGCGTCAAAAAACGCTATCCAACAAATCCCATGGGACACAGAAGGATTCGTGAGCAACTTGTTTCTGGTCCCCAAGAAAGGGGGCGGGGTACGCCCAGTAATAAATCTCCGGCCTCTAAATGCGTTTGTCCAATACCACCATTTCAAAATGGAGGGTATTCATTGCCTTCGGGACCTCCTCATACCATCAGATTGGATGGTCAAAATAGATTTACGGGACGCTTACCTGACAATCTCGATCGCAGAAGCGCACCGAAACCTACTACAGTTTCAGTGGCAGGGAACGAAATGGAGGTTTGTATGTCTGCCATTTGGCCTATCCTCCGCTCCATGGTGCTTCACAAAAGTGCTAAAACCAGTGATTGCCTTCCTGCGCACACGAGGGGTCAGATTAATAATTTATCTAGACGACATCCTTCTTCTGTCCCAATCTCAATCCCAACTTCGCATTCACCTATCCTGGACGATCCACCTTATCCAAAACTTAGGATTCTTGGTGAATTGAAAAAAAATATAAAAATAAATAAATAAATAAATAATCGATGCTACAACCCTCCAGACAGATGGAATTTCTGGGTTTCCAAGTCGACTCTGTTCAACAGAGGTTGTGTCTACCCAAAGACAAAATGATTTCGATCAAGAAGGAGATCAGACGGCTTATGCATCGTACGACTATTTCCCTCCGACAACTTGCGAGGATCATAGGGCTGTTGGCATTGTCCATACAGGCGATCTTCCCAGGACCTCTACACTATCGTGCCCTACAAAGACTCAAAGTCTCATATCTACGCTCCGGTCACTCATACGAAACCTGCGTCATACTGGACGAAGACTCCAGGGAGGAACTAGACTGGTGGTTAGCACACATGGAGGCATGGAACGGGCGGGCGATATTTGGATCGACGCCGGACCTGGTCATAGAGTCAGACGCCATCTTACACGGCTGGGGCGCGCATTGCGGGTCAGTTTCCACCGGTGGCAGATGGTCAAACGAAGAGTTCCTGTTGCACATCAACTGCCTAGAGCTATTAGCAGCGTCCTTTGCCATTCGCAGTACAAACCCAACAGGCATTTCATGCTCGATCTTAATCAAGATGGACAACATCTCAGCGGTACGTTATATCAACCATCTAGGGGGGACGAAATCGAAGGTTCTCGCATTGATGGCTCGAGATTTTTGGCACTATTGCCTGAAACACAGCATTTCGGTAATAGCAGAATACATTCCGGGGCAGGACAATACAATGGCGGACTGGAATTCCCGATACCTTCGGGATGCAGGGGATTGGCATCTCCACCCAATGATTTTCCAGCGCCTCTCTCGACTCTGGGGACCTTTCAATATAGACCTCTTCGCGTCTCGACTGAACACCCAGCTTCCTCAGTTCTTCAGTTGGAGACCGGATCCAGATGCTCTAGCAACAGATGCATTCCTACAGGACTGGACCAAGGGCAGGAACTACGCTTTCCCCCATTCAACCTCATTTCTCGGTCCCTAGCGGTCCTTCGATATTCCAAGGGGACGCTGGCGCTGATAACCCCGTTATGGAGGTCACAACCTTGGTTTCCTCAATTATTGGAAATGTCAATAGATTTCCCACAGCTGTTGCCAGACATTCCCTAGCTCTTAACCAACCCAGATGGAATGAGTCATGATCTGGCTAACCAAGGCCTACTGCAACTGATGGCATGGCTCATTTCAGGAGATCATGGAACCTCGAGGAGGTTTCGCAGACGACACTCAGTCTCTTGGCAGAGTCGTAGGCACCAGGTACCAGACGTGCCTACGGATCGGCTTGGAGAAAATGGTCTGGTTAGTGCGTGGGACGGTCAATGGATCCCATATCAGCTTCTACAGAGGCAATCCTACAATTTCTGACTCTACTCTCTGAGGAAGGAAAAGCCTTTCGTACTATAAATATGTACAGATCGGCTATATCAGCGAGACATATGGGGTTGGATGGCACCCCAATAGGTAAACATGCCCTTATCTGTCGTTTACTCAAAGTCATCCGTCTTACTCGACCTCCTCAAACTCGATATTCTTCCTTTTGGGATGTCAATGTGATGTTGCGTTTTATCGAATCTTGGCCAATGAACCAGGAACTTTCATTGAAGCAATTGTTGGCCAAACTGTTGATGCTGTTTTGTTTACTTTCATGTAAACGGGTCGCTGATGTCACGTGTTTTTGTCCCAAACGGAGTATGCTTTAATATTTCACGTAGAACAAAATCCTCGACTAAGGAAGTTTTCTACCCATCATTGCCGGACAACCCGAATTTGTGCCCTATGCTATGTCTGAAGGAATACGAGCATCGCACGGCATCACTCCGTCCAGAACAAACCCATCCACTGTTCATCTCATTCAAAAGACCTCACCTACCAGTATCTACTGCTACTTTAGCTCGTTGGATCAAATGCAGGCATAGACACCTCAATTTTTTCCTCACATTCCGTTCGCGGAGCTATGGCCTCTAAAGCTTCCATGATAGGTTGTAAATTGGAGGATATACTACGGGCAGCCGACTGGTCGAATGAGTCTACATTTCGTAATTTCTATTACCGCCCAGTGCAACACATTTCCAGTTCAGTGGTTGCTCAGCTTTAAAATAGCATAATAGGAGCCTCCGTGTCTTTAATAAAATTACCAGATTTTACTATTAACATGACGTAAAGTCATGATTTTATTAATGACACAGAGGCGAGTATTATTCCCACCCACCCTACCCAGAGTGGTGAGTAAGTTATAACCCAGAACATGGAGCATTTAGGATTACTTAATACGGTAGGTACAAGATCATTCATGACACAGGTGAGTAAGTATTCTATGAATATGACTTATATGATACGTATTTCGATCTAGCAATATGGTTGCCGAAATTGATATAGTTACATCGTTTGATTAACATGGTTGACGAGTTGTTAATTGCGGAATAACAGTCACGAGATTTCGATATTACCATATTTCTCCTTTCTTTTAGCTTGAATACAGCTGGAGAGTTGCCGGTTGAAACGGTTCTAGATTTAAGTTTCCAGTTATGGTTTTGGTTCGTGGATTCGTATTTATGGTTGGAATACCTTGAATTTTGCACTAATAGTCTTCAGGACCTATGCAGAAAGAGGAGGAGTCAAGGAACACTACACCTATATGGATTATACTGTATGCTGATTGGTGCTACTGTTACCAGGCTATTGTTATGGTTTCTTTTTTCTATGATTCTCTCATACTTCCCTTTTCTTGCTGCTGGGAGTATAATAAAGAAAGAGAATGCATAATAGGAGCCTCCGTGTCATTAATAAAATCATGACTTTACGTCATGTTAATAGTAAAATCTGGTAATTATGTGGGAAGAATGTAATGAGGGGAAATGACAGCTTTCCATGTGTACTGCAGCTGTAACTTGCGCATGACAAGAGAAATCTAATCAGTTTTATCATTGTCAATGCCCTGTAAAGTAAGGTTTTAAAACTGGACATCAATGTTCAATAACACATCAGTAGGTTAACCCCTTAAGGACGGAGCCAAATGTACACGTTGTGAACAAAATGTAAACAAAACCTGGCATTTGCGCTACATGTCTGTCCAACCGTAATTCACCTCTTTCATAGTAAATGCACCCACCCATATTATATATCATTTTACTTAGGGGAAACAGGGCTTTCATTTAATATCAAATATTTAGCTATGAAACATAATTTAATATGAAAAAAATGGGAGAAAATAAGACATTTTGTTATTTTAGTTCTTCATGACATTTTAACTGTAAATGTCATAATACTGTTTGCTTTTACTGCAATAAAATACACATTTGTATTCAGCAAAGTCTCACGTGTAAGACAGTACCCCCTATGTACAGGTTTTACGGCGTTTTGGGAAGTTACAGGGTCAAATATAGCACGTTACATTTGAAATTGAAATTCGCCAGATTGGTTACATTGCCTTTAAGACTGTATAGTAGCCCAGGAATGAAATTTACACCCATAATGGCATACCATTTGCAATAGTAGACAACCCAAGGTATTGCAAATGGGGTATGTCGAGTCTTTTTTAGTAGCCATTTGGTCACAAACACTGGCCAAAGTTAGCGTTAGTATTTGCTTGTGTGTGAAAAATGCAAAAAAAAAAAAAAAAACAATTTTGGCCAGTGTTTGTGACTAAGTGGCTACTAAAAAAGACTGGGCATATCCCGTTTGCAATACCTTGGGTTGTCTACTATTGCAAATGGTATGCCATAGGGGTAATTTTCATTCTTGGGCTACCATAGGGTCTCAAAGGCAACGTAACCAATATGGCGAATTTTAATTTTTAATAAAAACCTGTACATGAGGGGTACTGTTGTATTCGGGAGACTTCGCTGAACAAATATTTGTGTTTCAAAACAGTAAAAAAGTATCGCAGCAATAATACAGGGAGTGCAGAATTATTAGGCAAATGAGTATTTTGACCACATCATCCTCTTTATGCATGTTGTCTTACTCCAAGCTGTATAGGCTCGAAAGCATATTAGGTGATGTGCATCTCTGTAATGAGAAGGGGTGTGGTCTAATGACATCAACACCCTATATCAGGTGTGCATAATTATTAGGCAACTTCCTTTCCTTTGGCAAAATGGGTCAAAAGAAGGACTTGACAGGCTCAGAAAAGTCAAAATAGTGAGATATCTTGCAGAGGGATGCAGCACTCTTAAAATTGCAAAGCTTCTGAAGCGTGATCATCGAACAATCAAGCGTTTCATTCAAAATAGTCAACAGGGTCGCAAGAAGCGTGTGGAAAAACCAAGGCGCAAAAATAACTGCCCATGAACTGAGAAAAGTCAAGCGTGCAGCTGCCACGATGCCACTTGCCACCAGTTTGGCCATATTTCAAAGCTGCAACATCACTGGAGTGCCCAAAAGCACAAGGTGTGCAATACTCAGAGACATGGCCAAGGTAAGAAAGGCTGAAAGACGACCACCACTGAACAAGACACACAAGCTGAAACGCCAAGACTGGGCCAAGAAATATCTCAAGACTGATTTTTCTAAGGTTTTATGGACTGATGAAATGAGAGTGAGTCTTGATGGGCCAGATGGATGGGCCCGTGGCTGGATTGGTAAAGGGCAGAGAGCTCCAGATCGACTCAGACGCCAGCAAGGTGGAGGTGGAGTACTGGTATCATCAAAGATGAGCTTGTGGGGCCTTTTCGGGTTGAGGATGGATTCAAGCTCAACTCCCAGTCCTACTGCCAGTTCCTGGAAGACACCTTCTTCAAGCAGTGGTACAGGAAGAAGTCTGCATCCTTCAAGAAAAACATGATTTTCATGTAGGACAATGCTCCATCACACGCGTCCAAGTACTCCACAGCGTGGCTGGCAAGAAAGGGTATAAAAGAAGAAAAATCTAATGACATGGCCTCCTTGTTCACCTGATCTGAACCCCATTGAGAACCTGTGGTCCATCATCAAATGTGAGATTTACAAGGAGGGAAAACAGTACACCTCTCTGAACAGTGTCTGGGAGGCTGTGGTTGCTGCTGCACGCAATGTTGATGGTGAACAGATCAAAACACTGACAGAATCCATGGATGGCAGGCTTTTGAGTGTCCTTGCAAAGAAAGGTGGCTATATTGGTCACTGATTTGTTTTTGTTTTGTTTTTGAATGTCAGAAATGTATATTTGTGAATGCTGAGATGTTATATTGGTTTCACTGGTAATAATAAATAATTGAAATGGGTATATATTTGTTTTTTGTTAAGTTGCCTAATAATTATGCACAGTAATAGTCACCTGCACACACAGATATCCCCTAACATAGCTAAAACTAAAAACAAACTAAAAACTACTTCCAAAAATATTCAGCTTTGATATTAATGAGTTTTTTGGGTTCATTGAGAACATGGTTGTTGTTCAATAATAAAATTAATCCTCAAAAATACAACTTGCCTAATAATTCTGCACTCCCTGTATTGTCCGTGTAAGTGCTGTTTGTGCGTTAAAAAATGCAAAAAACTTCACTTTTACTGGCGTTATCATTGTTGTAATACATTTTACTGTTTTGAAACACTGATATGTGTTCAGTGAAGTCTCCTGAGTAGAACAGTACCCTCCATGTACAGGTTTTATGGTGTCTTGGAAAGTTATAGAGTTAAATATAGTGCTAGCAAATTAAATTCCCTTTACTTTTGACATGGGTTGTCAGGCAGGTCCCGCTAATTGTAATTAAGTAAGATCCCTAGTTATGTAAAGATATTACATATATACACACACACACACACACGTTCATACTCTTGCACATCCAGCAACGTGGTATACATGATTCAATGCATAAAATGCCAGCAAGGATGCTACATTGGGGAAACCACCCAGCCATTAAATGGCAGAATGAATATGCACAGACACTCTATTAAACACCACAAAGAAGAATCATACTGCACTCCTGTGGGACACCACTTTACCCAGCCTGGCCACTCACTGAAGGACCTAAAAATCAAAGTACTGAAAGGGGTTTTTAAAAATACCCAGGAAAGAAAAGCCTTTGAAGCCAGAATGATTAAATGGTTTAACAGCAAGAATAGAGGACTAAATATTGATTTGGGATTCCTGTCCCACTACCAACACTTTACATGAACACTCTCCCAGCATTATCTTACTATTCTGTCATATGTACCAACACTTTAAAATGCATTCCTATATGTTTATTCTATCTATATACAAAGTACTATGAGTAGACCTATGCTTTCCCATACTCGTATGCATGAATGCTTATATATATATTACTGTGCATTTATATTTGTGTATATGAGTTCATGTGCGTATATGTACATGTTTTTATGCGTTCACATATACATATTTCTGTGTGTGTGCATGTATAAAGTGTATCATCCTGTGCACTGTCTGCTTGCTTGTTTTTCTTTTCCCTCTCTCCCCCCTACTCTGCTCTTCAACAAGATATTTATGACCCTCTGCTAAGATGGTGTCTATTTTCTAACAAACCTGTGTCTTATCTACACTCATGTCGCTTTAACCCCTGTATCACAACTCAACTTTGAATTCTATGTGTCCTTTTGCTCAGAAATGCTTCAGACTTGAGAAAGGGAGGTTCTCCCGAAAGCTTGTCATTAAAAAATTCTGTTAGTCCAATAAAAAAGGTATTACAAGCTAAGAATGGTATCTGTTTTTTTTACATAGATATATATATATATATATTTTATTTTGATATAAATATATATTAATATCACAATACAGTTAGAACGAAATAACACAATTTACATATTTTTTCATAATATATATATCTCACAATTATATATTTAATCAGTATCAGTCTACATGTAATTTGAGAGATTTAGAGAAATATATATATATATATATATATATATATATATATATATATATATATATAAATAAATAAAAAAAATTCTATTTATTTTTTACACTTATTAACATAAAATTTTATTTGATTTCCAGCCAGCAGGGGGACTACCTATCATTGCAGCAGCCAGCTATACCGGCCATGTGATTGTGAGGTCCTCACAAGGACCTCATTCTCACATGGCCGGGGGGGGGGGCTGCAGGACGGAGGATCTGCTGCGGTGGCTCCCTGGGAGTCCCCCCGGGGGTGACCGGGTAAGTAAGAAAAAAAACGGAGGGCGTACTATTACGCCAGGCGGCGTTTAGAGACGCCTAAAATAGGGCGTAATAGTACGCCCTACGGTCTTAAGGGGTTAAAGAACAACAATGTCTCTTTTGTGATAATACACAAAGCTGAATTGTTTATTGATATCTGAAAAGAACGCCTTACATGTCAGACAATATCATCATTTACCTTAAATTCACTCGTAGATTCTTCCAATGGTATGACATTATGATTCTTGTGAAAAATGGATTCTCTGCACACCAAGCAAATTTTCTGCTGATCTTCCAGACAATAGAGCTTTAAAGGTTCCTGATGCAATTGGCATGTCTTCTTATCAGCATTATTTATTTTAGATTCAAGTAGGCGGTTTGTGATTTCTACTACATTCTCCACAAGGCGATTTGGTCTGAAGAACCGCCATTTAGAGACCTTCCGGCACTGAGGACATGAAAATTGTGTGTGAATTCCTCTCCATGTGCGTGAAATACATGCCCGACAAAAATTGTGCCCACACTCTATAGAGACTGGGTCTTTGAAGTTGTCAAGACAAATAGGACAAGTGAGTTCATCTTGAAGGTCCTTGATAGGATTGGGTTTTGCCTGTGCCATTACTAGGAGACAAACAAAAACAAAGAAAATAGTAACTTTTTGGGCTTTCAGTAGCATCTTTAAGTTGACAATCATGCGCACTATATCAAACTTTGAAAAAAATAGAAAAAACAAAGCAAACTATGCTTTATCCCCTTAGGGACGGTGGTCGTGCTAGTCCATCCTTGGGGACCCGTCTCTAAACGTCGTCCTATCTACTTACCTGCTCTCCGGCGATCGAGATGGAGAGGGGGCAGTCCCCTTGCTGCCGATCCGGGCCTCCTGGGCCATGTGATCACGAGGTCCTTGCGAGGACTTCTCGATCACATGGACGGAATAGCCGTCCATATCAGTACCAGCAGGGGGAGTGCCTGGAATGACAGGCAGTCCCCATGCTGCCTGAAATAAATTAAAATATGTATACATACATACACACACAGTCTAAGTGTATTTTAATATTTATATATTAATATAAGTTAAAAAAAAATGTACAGGGTATGCGTAGTTTCATTCTAGCTGTATTTTGATAATATATATTGATATCAAAATACACTTCTAACGATCGATATATTGATCAAAGTAATTTTCAAAAATCATATACATACATTTTATTTCTATGTATATATTTAGGTAATATTTTTACATGAAAGTCATTTTATTAATTACAATTTGCGGGATCTGCCAACCCAGGCCAAAAGTCCAGAGAATTTAATTTGCTAGCAGTATATTTAACCCAGTAACTTTCCAAGACACCATAAAACCTGTACATGGAGGGGGGGGGGTACTGTTTTACTCGGGAGACTTTGCTGAACACAAATATTAGTGTTTCAAAACAGTAAAATGTATTACCACGATGATATGGTCAGTGGAAGTGCCGTTTGTGTGTGAAAAATGCAAAAAACGTCACTTACACGGACAATATAATTGTTGTGATACGTTTTACTGTTTTGAAACACTAATATTTGTGTTCAGCGAAGTCTCCTAAGTATAACAGTACCCCTCATGTACAGGTTTAATGGTGTTTTCAAAAGTTACAGAGTCAAATATAAGGCTTGTGTTTCATTTTTTTCACATTGAAATTCGCCAGATTGGTTACGTTGTCTTTGAGACCGTATGGTAGCCCAGGAATGAGAATTACCCCCATGACGGCATACCATTTGCAAAAGTAGACAACCCAAGGTATTGCAAATGTGGTATGTCCAGTCTTTTTTAGTAGCCACTTAGTCACAAACACCGGCGTTCAAATTAGTGTTTTGCATTTTTCACACATAAATATTAACGCAAAAAAAAAAGACATACCCCATTTGCATTACCTTGAGTTGTCTACTATTGCAAATGGTATGGCATCATGGGAGTAATTCTCATTCCTACGCTACCATATGGTCTCAAAGGCAATGTAACCAATCTGGCAAATTTAAATGTGAAAAAAACTGAAATATGTAACATACCATATTTGACCCTGTAACTTGCCAAAATACCATAAAACCTGTAAATAGGGGGTACTGTTTTACACACGAGACATCACTGAATACAAATGTGTGTTTTATTGCGGTAAATGCAAACAGCATTATGACATTCGCAGTTAAAAATGTCATGAACTAAAAGAATATAACAAAGGGTCTTAATTTCTCATTTAAAAAAATATATATATATTTTATCCATATTAAATTAGGTTTCATAACTAAATATTTTATGTTAAATGAAGGCTCTATTTCTCCTGAATAAAATGATATAAGTGTGGGTGCACTTTATATGAAAGAGGTGAATTACGGTTGAATGCGTTTTATTTTGATCAAAACGTGTACATTTGGATCACTCCTTAAGGGGTTTAAGTAAAATAGATCAACTCTGTTCATTTTCCCAGATTGGTTATTTTGGAATAAAATGTAGGGTTTCCTTGTCTGACCACTAGGAATCCCAGTTTTGCAAACAAACTACAATTCTTACAAACCAATGCCTTTTTTTTTCCTTTGTTGGAGTAGTAGCCCTCCTCTAACATGTTTTTTGCCACTGCATTGTTCACATGCCTAAATCTTAGAATAGTTACTAATAAACATGCAATATTTCTGAACCCATTTGTAATATGCTGGTTAATACTGTAAAATATTACTCAAACCATAATATCCACTCTAGTCTACTGTAATAATTATAATAGGAGTATCCTGGTACTGTTCCGCAACAGTCTGCCCTCTTGACTAGATGCCTGCGGGGTGCTGTCTCTTCTCTGTAGAAGGCTTACGATATCCAGTTTCTGCAGAAGCCATATGCTGATCATGCCACACATTCATTGTCTGAGAGCATCAGCTAATTGCTCTCAGCTGCTGAATAACATTCTGTAGAATATAGAGAAATATGCACAGAATTTACAGTAGCCAGCCAAGAACAAGACTTCTGGTCTGTCAGTAGTCCCAATGACACTGCAGGTGGAGTTACACCTCCAGCATCAAAAAGGTTAAATTCTTTAAGTCCAGCGTGTCACAATGAAACGTGGTCATGATGCTTGAAGTAATTCTTCGACATTGAAAAAAAAAAAAAAAGTTTTTATACCCGCGATGTTGATCATATAGAAGCATTTGCTCAGAGGCAAATGTATGAAACTTAGCACTTTGCCAAGATTAACGGTACAGAGTCATTGGGGCGTCAGATAGCCATTAGTATCATGCCCTCTCTTCCTGATGTGCATTCCCATAACAAAAGGTGGAGCAATGTCAGTGGAGGAAAATTGGTCTGCAGGTAAGCAGACAAAACACCACGATGAACCAGTCAGCATCTCCTCAGAGATGCATTGAATCAACGTTTAGCATCATCTTCATGAAGGGCGTGGAGACGCTGAATGCCAGTGTGGTCAGAAAGCACATCTAGTGGCAGTCTTAGTGACCGCCACTAGACGTGTTACTAGGCAGCAATGTAAAACACTGCCTTTTCTCTGAAAAAGCAGTTTACACTGAAATGCCTACAGTGACATGCTATAGACACCAGAATAACTACATTAAAATGCAGTAGTTCAGGTGACTACACAGTGTCCCTTTAAAACACTTTTTTTGGTTGGACTAACACTATGAGACAAAAAAAATTATAGACTGGGGATTTTAAAAGATATTAGACACATGCCACTGCTGAGAATTACATTTCCTCCAGCATACAGCCAGCCACAATGACTATCCTCCTGCACTGACACTACAAACTCTATGGTGGGAATCCAGCCACAATGACTATCCTCCTGCACTGACACTACAAACTCTATGGTGGGAATCCAACCACAATGACTGTCCTCCAGCACTGTCACTATAAACTCTATGGTGGGAATCCAACCACAATGACTGTCCTCCAGCACTGTCACTATAAACTCTATGGTGGTAAAACTCTATAGTGGTAAACTCTATGGTGGTAATCCAGCCACAATAACTGCCCTCCAGCATTGACACTACAAACTCTATAGTGGGAATCCAGCCACAATAACTATCCTCCTGCACTGACACTACAAACTCTATGGTGGTAAAACTCTATGGTGGTAATCCAGCCACAATAACTGCCCTCCAGCACTGCTGAGAACTACATTTCCCATGGTTCTCATACAGTCGCTCAAAGGCTAAACTGTCAAAACTGAGCCTAACCAAATCATTCTCTGTAAGTCCCCCGTCCCCAGCCGCCCACCGTACGAGCTCCACCAGGTCCGAGCAGACTGTGTCTCTAACGTCCTGTCCCGCCACGAATCGCTCACAGACAGGAAGTAAAGATATATTTTTTCTACAAGGCACACGGGGCTTTTTGCTTGAGAGATCACGGCGGCCGTGGAGGGACAAATCTAATACATTAGCGTTAACGCATCAGATTCTGAATTCGAGTTGGCTTTTTACCGTGTGTTGTATAGGCAGTCCTGCTGTTGACAGGGCATGCCGTTAACTCGGCTATAAACTATTTTATGTTTATTTTTTCAGAGAAGTGTCATGTTAACAGTGCAAACCTGTGTCCTTTTTAAATAAAGTCCATTTTAACTTAATAAAAAAAATAGGCAATATAGTAAACTAAAATAATAGCTGGAGTTTAGCTGTTTGTGCTGGAGGTAGTAACTATGCACATTCCACTACTATCAGGGTTATTCTATAAAATCTGAATTATCATTTAAACTGAATTTCAACTGGAAAAAAAATCTATAAGAAATACACACACAGACTGCTGAATACACGCACACACTGCTGAATACACCACATACTGAATACACAAACATAAATTGCTGAATACGCAAACACAGACTGTTGACTACACAGAGACTGCTGAATACACACACACACTGCTGAATACACCCACACACTGTTGAATACATACAGAGACTGCTGAATACACACACGTACTGAATACATAAACATAGCTAAATACAGACTGCTGAATACACATGCAGACTGCTGAATACACACACATACAGATTGCTGAATACACACACAGACCTCTGAATATGCAAAATACACAGACTGCTGAATACACACACAGACTGCTGAATACGCAGACATACACAGACTGCTGAATACACACAGAAACTTCTGAATACACACACACAGACTTCTGAATACACGTATAGACTGCTGAACACACACAACCAGACTGACTACTAAATACACACACTGTTCAATACACACACAAAAACTGCTGAGTAAACACACACAGAGACTGCTGAATACACACACACACACTCTGTTAAATACATATAAAGACGGCTGAATACACACACATACTGAATACAGACAGAGGGACTGCTGAATACACAGACTGCTGAATACACACACACATACTGAATACACAAACATAGATTGTTAAATACAGAGACTGCTAAATACACACAGACTGATAAATACACACACATTTTACTGAATACACACATACAGATAGCTGAACACACAAACAAAAACTTCTGAATCCACACACAGACCTCCGAATACACATATAGACTGCTGAATACACACAACTAGACTGCTGAATACACACACAAAGACTGCTGAAAACACACACACTGTTGAATACATACA